TCTTCTGCTTATTAAATTTCTAAATTCATTATCTATTTTACTAAGGCTGCGGTCACACAGAACATTAGCCACCCTAGTCAGACGGAAGACATGCGGAGTTTCCGGACGCGATCTCACCGGCACGTCTGGGAAGGGTAGCACTCCCGTGGCTCAAACGAGGCTTCCCGCTGAAACCACACAGCAAAAAACTAGTACCTTGGAGGTACTAGTATCCGGAAACCACGGGGCAAGGGCGGGCATCTGATCGCGTTTCCGGTGGCATCCGGCGCCCGCCCAAGTTCCCATCCTTGCGAAAAAGTTTTTTCCCCCAGGTCTTCGTGGATGCGCAAAAGCACCCTACGGAGCATGCGCAGTCGTGCTGTACAGAAAAAAAAACTATCCAGTTTGCCGAACCGCGCGCTTCGTTTTTGCGCGCGGGATTGTGCTGCGATCGGCACCTCTCCCTTCCCACGGGACCTCCACGGTACCTCCATGGTACCTCCACGGGAGGTCTGGTCAGGTAACGGCGCCTTAGTTTGCCCCGGGGCACACTGCCACACTTCCCCCCCGCGGTTTCCTGCTCGTGTGACCGGGGCCTAAGCTTATCTTTTCTGCGTTCTCAAATTACCACATTTATCTATCCGTTGCATTTACATTATACCAATCATAGAATCTCTTCCAAGTTTTTTGAAAAGTCCATTCTGTGCCAGCTCTCATCTCAAGTGTCAGTTTGTCATTTTCCGCCATTTCAAATAGTTTATTCACGTACTCGTTTCATTGGCATTTCCATTATTTTCCAATATTTGGCATATACTATCCTTGCAGCTGTCGACATATGAACTATCAAATACCTATCTGCTTTATCAAAGTCTTTCAGAAATATATTCAATAACAGTATCTCTGGAGTAAACGGGATATTAGTTCTTGTTATTTTTTCCATTATCTCATGAATCCATCTCCAATACCTCTTTGTAACATCACATAGCCACCACATGTGATAAAAAGAGCCAATCTTATTTTTACATTTCCAGCATTTATCAGAACAGTTACTATTTTGTTTAGCTAATCTATCTGGTGTAATATACCATCTATAAAACATCTTATACATGTTCTCTTTACATGACACAGCATTAGTTAATTTTATATTCTTCAGCCAAATCTGCTCCCACTCTTCTAAATTAATATTATGGCCTATATTCTGGGCCCATACAATCATATTTTTTTCACTATTTCATCCACTATCACATCATCCAATAAAACCTTGTATATTTTCTTTATCACTTTATTTTCTGCTGTTAAAACAATTTCTTCTAGTTCAGTTATTTTCTTATTAAAACCTTGTTTCTTATCCTTCAAATATATTGATTCCAGTTGCGCTTTCTTCCACCAGGATAATTGTTCTGGTAATTTAAGATTGTCTTTTTTATCCAGAATATCCTGGTATCTTTTTTAAAAAAAAAACCCGGAGGGGTATTTTTATTTTTTCAATAAGACTACAAACTACAAAGAAAAATATAGGAAGGGGAACTACAACTATGGATAAAGAAAAGAAACCCACACTAACTAAAAACCCAAGAGTGGGAGACCCCCTTTATGTTAACCTTAATATTAGTATTAAAAGAGTTAGTAAAACAATATACTTTTAGAGTTCTTGTTTTTCACATTGTTCTATATTAGTAAATTGTTATTCCAGGGTAAAGTGTGATTAAAATAGGCAAGGAGGGGATGGGAGTGCGAGTAAGGGACGAGTGCATCTGAACATGTGCAGAGCGAATTTGTGTGTTGCTAGGTTTCTGTACAGTCGAGGCTGGGAAACGGTTACGCATTTGGCACACTGCAGCAACCGCAAGTTTCTGTTCTTTTACTTCCATTTTTTCAACAACTGCTGAGGTGTGCGGTTGAGAAGCACAGTTCCCGTTAAAGAAACCATCACTGTGAGTTGTGTGTGTTTTGGGGAAAGAATCTTGATGTGGGCACACAGGGTGGATGGTGGTCCCAGGAGGACCCCCGTCTAGGTAATGACCAGATCCTCAGCTTCATCTCCATGGATGGTGTCCTCTCCAAACCTTTCCCGAGGCCAAATATTCAGAATTGTTAATAGAGCTCTTAACAGCCAGAGAGACTTCTGGTTATTCAAAACTGCAGACAAAACCGCAGAAAAATATTTTGCCGTACCTTGATTATAACTTGGCGAAGTGGTGGGGGACCAGGCACAATCATTCCGTGGGCCACAGCCAGTTTCTGAGGAGCCCGCTGGCCCTCCCTGAACAAAGCTGGAGTGTTCAGCTAAACATTAGGAGGAATTTCTTGACAGTTAGAGCTGTTCTTCAGTGGAATAGGCTTCCTCGGGAAATGTTGAGCTCTCCTTCTTTGGAGGTTTTTAAGTGGAGGCTAGATGGTCATCTGACAGCAATGCAGTCTTTAATCACTATGAATTTTGGCAGATTGTGAAAGGGAGAGGGGGAAGGGGTGAGCCAGAGCTCGGATCTTCCAGTGTTCTCTCCAAGCTGAGTTAGTGTGAGCTAGCTCACAGTTCTTTAGCCTCCGGTTCACAGATTTTTGTCTTGGCTCAGGAAGGATGGCTCCAGAGCAAACTAATCTATGCAGTAGCCAAAGCACTCACTCACATCCCCGAAGACCACAGTCTTAACTCTGGAATTAGGTACAGTTTGAGGGAGTTCATTGCCATTGCTTTGCTTTGTATTGTGATCCAATCTTACTGACTATAATGAAGTGCAGGATTTAGAATGGAACTGATTTACCATCATTTATGGCAGATACTGGGTAAATGCATGTGAGAGGCATTCAAAAGGCTGAACAGTTGGTTCATTCCGGCTGTGATAACTTGACGGAATCACTGGTTCAGGTGTTACTTCATTGTAGTTTTTATCTTCAAACACATCTGGGTTAATTGGAACCTGTTTGGGCTGGGGTTGACCAAAGAATTACTGTATTGCTTGTGGGCTGTAATAAAGATAGAACCAACTGGTTCATTCCTGGAAATCCAAAGGAAGCCCGGGTAGTTAACGCATTTTATTGAGTGTGAAATAACAAGAGAGGTTTTCAAAAAGATCCTGACCTGGATAGCCCACTCTTGGCCAATCTCCTACGATCTTGGAGGCTGAGCACGGCTGGCCTTGGTTGGTGTTTGGATTGGAGACTACCAGGGAAGTTGAGGCAATGGCAAACCACTCCTGAATGGCTCCTGCCTTGAAAACAGTACACACACAAAAAAGACTGTGCCATCAGGAAAGGATATCTTTGCTTCTAGAAGTACTGTATTCTTGCACTGTATTCTTGGTGCTTGGGGCAACAGTGGGAGGGCTTCTAATGTCCTGGCCCCACTGCTGGACCTCCTGATGGCACCTAGTATTTTTGGCCACTGTGTGTTGGACTAGATGGGCCATTGGCCTGATCCAACATTGGCTTCTCTTATGTTCTTAATAGGAATCAGTGGGATGTGAGTGATCAGTACTTCACTTACAAGAACAGCCTTGTTAAATCAGGTGTTCTTGCAGAGCTTGCATTGCCAAAAGCTTGGCTTTTGCATCCTTCTGTCTCTTTTTCTTGCTGGGTTCTGTACCCATTCCATCAATGTAGGGGTTAGTTATGGCCTTTTGTGGCTGTAGAAAGAGGTTTGGTAAGCTGAAGGGCTTTATTGCTTTAAGGGGTTGTGATTTAATGGGGGGGGGAGAACAGTACAACTTTAAGCACCCTTTGTCAGTTGTCACGTTGGGCTCAGAAATGCTTGATTTGTAGGGTTGCCAAGTGAATTTTATTCACCAGTGGGGGAGCCATCCCTCGTTGTGCGCGCGCGCTGCCAGCACATCACCGGAAGTGACGCGCGACGTCGATCACGTTGAGGGCGTGGCCCCGATCATCAGAGGGAAAACCATAGTGTTTTCCCTCTGACAATCGGGGCCACGCCCCCAACATGATCGGGGAGCAGAGTTCCCCCTGGGGCCCGATTCCACGGTGGCGGAAATCGGGCCTCCAAAGCGGGGGTTTACCCGCCCCCACTTGGCAGCCCTATTGATTTGGGCATATTTTATGGAGAAGTTGCAATTAGATAATTCAGATATATTGTACCAGTGAGATATGTGTTGAAGTCTGTTTAAATTATCTTAAATGCATGTCTTGCTTGTTTACAGTTGACCTGCATACATGTAGAGCTGCTGCAGCGTTTAGCTTCTAAATCTAACACTGTAATCCTACTCTATTCAAACTAGTTGGAGTTCTGCCACTTCTGGTGATGTTGGGGGTGTGGCATATGCAAATAAGTTATGCTAATGAGCTCCTGCACCTCTTTTTCTACGAAATGACCCCTGGATACAGTAATGGGATTTAGGAGCACTCAGTACCACTAGACTGTTAGATCAAACCTCACTCAACCCACTCATTCAATTAGTGCTTGGTTCATTGTAAAAACAGTGGATGAGAGGTAAAAAAATTAAATTAAACTTCTGATTTGAATAGCCCACAGGAGATGAGTGCATTTTAACAGTAGTGCAAAAGAATAAGGAGCATTAATTGAACTGAACTTTGAGACAGAAACAAGCAGATGGGCCCTCAACGGAGAAGAATACATGTTTATAAATCAACATTAAAGAGGGTGGCAATGTGAGTATTGACTCATATTGTGCAACTGGTTACAGCCCACCAGGCCGAAAATGATTACTGGTCTGCTGGGATGGCCACTGGCTATAGAAAATATAAGTGCTGTAATTACCTTAGCCCAAAAAACTTGGGATTCATATCAGGAACTTTAGTTTTCTGTACTCAGGTAGTATTGCAGTGTATATTATTTATTTGTTTATTAGCTTGTTATGTTTTATCCCATATATTTTCCTTGGAACCAAGGCGGTGTATATAAGTTTCACAGGGGGACTTCTGTCCAGACCCAGACCTGCTTATTTTCAGCAAGGTTGCTGGATCATATGCTTTCAGATTATGCTGTGCTCGTACAGGACAGTGATAGTGAAAGTCATGCTAGTTTTTCTCTCATTTTTGTTTTCCTGCAGGCTGGTGATAAGCATTACCATCCGAGCTGTGCACGATGCAGCAGATGCAGCCAGATGTTCACAGAAGGAGAAGAAATGTACCTGCAAGGTAACAATATAGCATCTGTTTTTGTTATTATCAGTCGTTGGAATTCCTGGAAGAGCAACATAGATTAGTTTGAAATAAACAAGATTTGCCTTGAAGAGGATCTACCTTTTCTTTTTTTAAACCTACAAATTCAATATCAAATTCTTATTTATGACCTGTATATGCAATTGATAAAGACAGTTCCTACCCGTTTTACTTAAAGAAAGTTTTAAAAGCCTCAATTACTATTACTGATTCTCATGAAGATATATTCCAATAGTGTGTAGTTCAGTAAGAATTTACTCATTTACCAGTTATTTCCAGATTCCATACTATCAGCATCCACTCTCTAGTACTAAATGTCCTCCTTAGGTACCAGTGCCAATGAGACTATAAGCATATCAAATATTATTAAATTAATATTATTAAAATTGTGTGCTGTCTGTTTGCCAACAGCAAACCCAAAGTAGTTTACAAAACAGTCAATAAAATCACATCAAATGACAGAACAATTTTAACTTTCTCAATATCAACTGTTTATAAATGGCAGCTCTATTAAACACAATCTGTTCATTGGTTTCCATTAAGAACAACACTTTACAGACCTTGTGAAAGGGACTTGTGACAGTCTCCAATCTGGGAGGGATGGCTTGTTTTATTTTCTCCTGCTCTTCCTCAAGGTTAGCATAAAATAGCATACTTAAGCCTTTATTTTGATAACTGTTGAATCATGGGTTCACTATTGTGAGGTAAATTTATTTGAGGACACCGAGACTCTTGGGGCAGGATTATCTGTGGAGATCCTTATGGAGCTCTTCAGTCAGCCTTGGTTTTCACCGTCCTGAATAATTTTGTGTCATCTGCGAACTTGGCCACCACGCTACTCAACCTTAATTCCAGACCATTTATGACCAAATTAAATAGTACCAGCCCCAAATACTGATCCTTGTGGGACCCCACTGCTTACTTCCCTCCATTGTGAAAGCTGTCCATTTATTCCTACACTTTGCCTCCTATCATTTAATCAGTTTTTAATCCATAAGAGATCTTGTCCTATTATCCCATGACTGCCAAGTTTACTCAGGAGTCTTTGGTGAGGTACCTTGTGAAAAGCCTTTTGAAAGTCCAAGAATATAATGTCTACTGGGTTAACTTTGTCTACGTGCTTGTTCACTTTCTCAAAAAACTCCAAAATGTTGGTGAGAGGTGTCTGTTGTGGGGAGGGGAAGGGAAAGGAGTTTGTAAGCCGCTCTGAGACTCCTTCGGGTAGTGAAGGGCGGGGTATAAATCCAATCTCCTCTCCTCTCCTCCTCTAGCTGGCCCTGTGCATATCTGGGTTCAGTTTCAATTTGTTCAGTTTTAGACATATAACCATAGCAGTCAGACAGTGGAACAAGACTTCTGCTGCATAACCAGGGGATTTGGATAAAGATATATAGATCAGATTGTCATCAACATACTGGTGACACTCCAGCACTACAAATGATTTCTCCTAAAGTCTTTTCATAGAGGTTGAATTGAATGTAGGATAAGATTGTGCCCTGTGGAACCCACACAGGATAACTCCAGCTAGTGTCCCATAGCAACCCTTTGATTCCCAAATAAGAGACTTTTAGGGAGCACATAGCTTATACACAACCAACCATTTAATTGTCCCCTTGCTACTTGATTGTGGGCAGTTGGGATTTAAGGAATCCATAGGAGAGGCCAGAGTGGGGGACTGGACATTCTTCAGTCCAGGGGGAATCCCACCATCTCTGCCCTCCCATAGCTGGTACAGCATCCCTTTTTAAGAATTCATTGTATAAGAATTTCCTTGATGGATCACACCAAGAACTCTAGCATTCTGTCTTCCAAGTTCCTGCGGGAAGGCTACAAACAGAACACAGTAGAGATGTGTGGTTGGACCCTGTAAGTTTTTCACTGGCAGAGTGGATCATTCCATACCTTCCTCTTCCCTCAGTAGGCCCTTTTGATCCCCCTCCCCTCACAAAGGCAATGCTTGCAGTTTGGAGAACTCTTGAAGACAAGATGATTCAGAAGGGATTTAAGATGATATTGCACCTTCTCCCTCTTGTGCCTCTGAAAAGTTGGCAGGATCCATCCTATGATCTCCTGTTGTTTTTCTTAAGCATGAAGGTTTTGTTTAGCTAGTGGCTAATAGTCATGATACATTTTATTTTATTTACTTAAAACATTTATTAGCTGCCTTTTTCCCTTTCAGAACTCAAGGTGGCTTACAATATAAACAAAACATAACAAACTGAATAAAAATAATTATAAAACCCATGAAAAGTCACAATTTTTCTACCATTATTCATGAATTTATCTAATTCAAGCTCTCATAAAGCATTTGAATGCCTTATGAACTGCAACACAGAATAAAAAATGCTTTAATACAATTCAATTTACAAAAATTTAACAACTAAAGTTAACTCTTAATCCAGATATTGCTTTTCTTTATGCTTTAGTTAATGCTTGTCAAGAATGCTTCAATCTGCTCTGTTTTAGCTGGATCTACTTTTCCCTGCTTAAAATTCTGGTCTGTAAGCCACCCTGAGCCTATCGGGGAGGGCAGGTATAAATGCAAAAAATAAATAAATAAATTGGGCAGAACCAATTGCTGGCTGAAGATTTCTGAACAGTCTAATAAACCCAATGCACAGAAACACAGATTATTTTACATAGATCTACAAACTCTTTGAGTCAAAATCTATCACAGTTTATTTATACAAGATGAATATTTGTGATTTTATACATTTTCCACATTCTTTCCTACATAGATAAAAATAACATTTTGTTGGGCTCTTAGCATACAATGCAGAATTTTCTCATTAATATTTACTTGCTTTAATGTGCTGTATTAAAATACCAGGACAGTATGGAGTGGTTTATCAATTTACACCTGTTACACAGTAAAAGGTGTGTTTGCTCAATCTGACTGGGGGTGGGAAGAGAAGCCATGAAAAAGGAGATGGACAGTATGGAGTGGTTTATCAACTTACACCTGTTACACAGTAAAAGGCGTGTTTGCTCAATCTGACTGGGGGTGGGAAGAGAAGCCATGAAAAAGGAGATGGTTTTTTTGTGTTTTTTGTCTAACTGATGGGTTGCCAGAAGGTTTCTGGAAGTGTCTCATGTTTGCTTGCTGTTTACAGAAGACCAGTGTGGTGTTAAAGACAATAATGCTAGGAAAAGATGAAGGCAGCAGAAAAAAAGGAACAGAGGGATTGATTTAATAAAGGAAACCATGGCCTTCAGTTTTCAAGACCCAGACAAGACTGTTAATGATAGGACGTTTGGGAGATTGTTGTTTTTTTAAGCCCCCGGAGGGGATTTTTTATTGATTTTTTTAAACACTACAAAAACTAGAACAGAAAAAAGGGAAAGGGAAAGCTACATATAAGGGAGAAAGTAAAGAACCCACTACTAACTAAAAACCCAAGAGAGGAGATCTCCAACTAGCTTTTTATACTTCATTCAGACTTTTCATCTTTGTACTTCTTATGAACTGTGTCAATCTTTTAACCCTTTTAACCATCCCCAGTTACATTTAATTGCCCAATAACAGTGCCCCCCATCATCCCCTAGAACCAAAGTTCTCAAAGGCACAATTCAGAGTCCTTCAGCCTTTACTTCTTCTTCTCTCTCTTCCGCAGTTTGTAGGAACTTTTCAGGGCTGATGCCCCCTGCTCAGACAAAGAGTCCTCACCAGACGAACCAGTTTCCAGCTCTCCACTGGACTTATCGTCCTCTTCTTTTTTCTCGTCCTCTGGCCTTCCCAGCTGCTCCTTTAGAAACTCTTGAGCTTTAAGAACAGAGTCAATCTTGACCTTCTTCTCCTTGATCTTGAATATTACTCCTTCTGGAAACAGCCATTTATATCCAATTGAGTTTGTTTGGAGGAAAAACACAAGTTCTTTGTATTTCTTTCTGCGTTGTCTTACTTCAAATGGAATATCCTTTAGCGTTCTGACAGCATTCTCCCCCACCTTCAGGGGTGTCGCAGCAACTGCTTTCAGGATAGCATCCCTGACGTGCCTCTTCGAGAATCTTACTACAATTTCCCCAGGCAGATTATTTTTCTTTATGTATCCTGAATATGACCTGTAGGCCACATCCATGTCGTTGAGTAGCAAGTCCGCCTTTATATCTGCTACTGGGGCAAGTAGCTCACTCATAATTTTTTTAAGATTCTCTCCTCTTTTCTCTGGCACCCCTGGGAAGTGCAGGACCATATTAGCCTTATCCATTTGCACCTGCAGCATCTGATCTTCCAAAAATACAGTTTTCTTTTCCAATTTTTGCACTTTTTTCCTCACTATCTGCGTTGTCTCAGCCATTTCCTTTCCTTTCTCAGCATCCTGCCTCATTACTTGAATCAAATCCGTTATTTTCGTTTGTTGAGCAGTAATGCTTGTTGTCACAACTTGCAGCTGCTTTTGTTGTACAGTAATATTCGCTGTTACCACAGACATCTGTTCTTTAAAGACATTGAGCTGTTCCAGCAGAGGGCGCATGACCTCTGTCATCGCCTTCGTCGTCTCACTGGTCGTATCCGGCACCTTCAGGGACTCTAGTTTCACTTTTAAAAGTTTCTCTTTGTCTCTGTCCCTCTTCCCCGCCATCTTTTTCTCATTTGTTTGCTTTCGCAATAAATTTTAAAGTCTCTGAATATACGCTTATCCGTATAGCTCGATGAATGAGTACTTCTGGGCAATTTCTTGTTTATTCTTCCACTCCCTCCCCTTTCGCTCAACAATTTATGGACATGGGAGGCGTCCCTCCCACCACTCGCTTCTGCCGTTTCGCCGTTTCGGGTAAGGAGTGTCTTTTTGTTAAAAATCTCATTTGACTCACGTTCATAGTTGGCCTTCTGACCCCTCTTCATTCATCCTTTCAAACAACTGATCTCCTGAACTTGATCCGGCTAGCTTCACTTGTACCATCAGGTCTCTCGGCTGGATGGACCACTGGAGCAAGGGGGAGCCTCGATTCCCTGGTATTCAGCCAGAGAAGAGGCTACCCCCTCAAAGCTCCTTGGCCAGGTGCCCTTCCCCAGGCTCCTGGGGGGGGGGTTACGAGCCTGCTCACCCCCTCCGTCCGCCAGAGCACGGAGACACCCCCGGGAGGTCCAGGAGGTGAGTCCGTGAGCGTGCTGCCATCAACCAGAAGTTGACGTTTGGGAAATTGTTAATGCATAGAGTTGACATAAATTGCAAAAGACTTGATACCAGTACTAAACACAGACAGTTTAGTACTGGAGCTGCGGGCATCAGGGGAATAAACTCCCCAACACAAATGATATGAGTAGAAATATGGGGCCCTAAGGGTTACTTAAAAGTGGAGGTGCACTATTGCTCACCTAATCGAACCCTTGAGACTGATCTTGAGATGGAGAAGGAAATAAGGGAGGTGACTAAGGCAGATAATGTTTTTATACTGGGAGACTTCAACTACACTCACATTGACTAAATAAATATGTGCTTGAGTCATACTGTAGAAATGAGATTCCTAGACATCATAAATGACTGTGAACTGGAACAGTTGGTCACAGAGCCAACCAGAGGACTAGTGATCTTGGTTTTGAGTAGGTCTCAAGATCTCGTGAGAGATGTAGAAGTTGTTATACCAACTGGGGACAGTGATCACAATGCTGTAAATTTCAGCATTCAGATCAATAGAAAGTTACCCCTAAAGTCCAAAACAGTAACATTTGATTTCAAAAGAGGGAACTTTACAAAAATTAGGGGAATAGTAAAAAGGAAGCTGAAAGGGAAACACAAGAGAGTAAAATCCCTAGAGGATGCTTGGAAGATTTTTGAAACCACACTAATTGAAGCTCAAATAGAATGCATTCCACAGGTGAAAAAAGGCACTGCCAGGTCTAAAAGAAGGCCTGCGTGGTTAACAACAAAAGTCAAGGAAGCTATAAAAACTAAAGAGGTGTCTTTTTAAAAGTGGAAGGTCTGCCCCAATGAATTGAACAGGGAGGATTATGGGCTTTGGCAAAAGAAATGTAAGTTGATAATTAGGCATGCAAAGAAGATTTTGAAAAGCGGGTTGCTGAAGGCATCAAGACAAACAGTAAACGTTTTAAGAAATATATCTGGAGTAGGAAACCAGCCAGAGAAGCAGTGGGGCCTTTGGATGTCAAAGGAATAAAGGGGTTGCTAAAGGAAGATGGGGAGATGGTAGAGAAGCTCAATGGCTTTTTTGCCTCTGTGGTCACTGTGGAAAGTGTGGGGCACGTACCCATGCCACCGCCCCTATTTTCAGGAAGGGAGTCTGAAGAACTGAGCCAAATTGAGGTTGACCAGAGATGAAATTCTAGACCTATTGGCAAAATTAAAAATCGATAAGTCTCCAGGTCCTGATGGTTTACACCCCATAGTTCTTAAGGAACTCAGGTGTGAGATTGTTGATCTACTAACCTAACCCATATACATAACCATCTCTAAATTCAGCCACTGTACCAAAAGACTGGAGAGTAGCAAATGTGACACCAATTTTTAAAAAGGGATCCAGAGGGGAAACATTAAGCTGACTGGCCTATAATGTCTAATGTGGGTATGATGGGAATTTAACAAATCCATTTAATTTGGAAAAGGGAGTATGACAGGGATGCTTGTTGGTGCCTTTTTTGTTTAATTTGTATTTAAATGACGCAGCAGCAATCTTTAATAACTGCTGCCATCCATGAATATTAGCTGAGCTTGGGATGCCTGTTTTGTTCTGTAGATGATGCTGTGATCTTGTCCTGAACTAGGGTCGGGCTGCAACGTGCCTTGTGATCCTTTTTTAATTATTGCTTTCGAGAAAGCCTGGTGATTAACTGTCTGAAATCTAAGATCCTAGTTTTCACCAAGACCAGAAAATGGAACCCATCTCAATGGTCTATCAAAGGGTCCAATATTGAGCAAGTCAAGGCCTTGTCCTATTTGAGGAATTTGTTTTTGGCAGATCTGTCTTGGAAACAACCCCCCCCCCCCCAACTTAGAGCAGCACTTAATAAAGCTAAACCAAGTGCAAGCACCATCAACAGGTTCTTCCATATTGAGGAGGGGCAATATATTCCAGGACTGGTGCAAGCTTTTAATTTGAAAGTGGTTCCCCGTATCCTATATGGCTCAGCTATTTGGATTAAAGCTATCTCCAATAACATCGATAAACCCTTAGCCCAATTTTTAAGGGAAATACTGAATATTCCCTGCTGTGTGTCAAACATTGCATTGCGGGCAGAATTTGGACAGGTATTCTTAGAAGCCAGAGCATGGCTTTATTCCTTTAAATCGAGATTAAAACAGCTCTGTGCCAAAGATGGTTTGTTAGCCTCTCTAAATTGAGATAACCCACAAATCAACTTGGATGAAAGCCCTGGATAAGAAATTGATGATAGTTGGAATGTCAATTAATGATATTTTTGAGATGGGCAAATCCAAAGCATTTTCTTTGATCAAAAAGTGTGTCCTAGAAATTGATTATAGTATTCTGATCCTGAGAGCCCACAGAGTTTGTTCACCCCTATCTTTTGGTCTTTCTTCCCCAGGATCTTTACCCCCCCCCCGCACTATCTTACCATTCCATGTTACTGTAGAGCTTTTTTTGTTTGCAAGATTGAATATTATACCTACAATGGTTTTACAGCGGAGATTTTTGAATAGGCCCTATTCTAACAGAATCTGCCCTTGTGGCCTTAATAGAATAGATACATCCTTCCATGCCCTGCTTGAATGCAGATTCTTTAAGAATATACAGGATCACTATATTAAGCCTTTAATCAACCTGCTATATTCTGGAAACCCTGGCTGTTTTGCTCAGCAATAAGGTTTTTTAGTTTACTCTAGCAACTGCAAAATTTGTCTCAGTCCTTTTAGCTCTTGCATCAAAAAATAAGAAGCAAGTATCTTCTGCTGCTTAAGATCTGTAAACCAATGAGCTTCTAAGGGTATTAAAGGAAAGGAAAGGATGTTGGACTAGAAGATGGACCATTTGGTCTAATCCAGCAGGGCTCTTCTTATGCTGTTATGAGACAAGGATAGTCTACTTTGATGCACACGGGGTGATGTTGGGCTACTCACTAGCCCTCAACCTTACCTACCTCAAAGGTTTTGCTGCAAATAAAATTAGGAGAGGAGAACTACATTTGTCTCCCAAAGGTCCCCGGGGGGAAATGCAGGATATAATATAAAATAAAAACACATCTTAAATTAAAAAGAATATTTCAAAACAATTAATAATTCTCAATTAAACTGTCTTTGTAAAATGAAAACTGATTCAGCAAACTTGTTCATGGAAGTGGGAAATATATTTACAAATACTTATATTTTATTCCATTTCTTTGAGGACTAAGCTAGAAAAAATAAGGTGTTTATTTTTTCAAAAGGCCCCCCTACTAAAGAATAGGGTGCAGGATGTAGGGCTGGCCTTTTATTTCCAAAGGAGCTTGTGGGAAAAGGCACTGGACCCTCCTATCTCCTACACAGCCCATTCCTCAGAAACTATTCCATTGTCACAGCTGGGAATAGAGAAAAGTACTTAGAGTCCCCAGTTGTGGGAAGGTAAGGCTTGGAAAGGTTGCCTTCTGTTCCCATCTCTTGTTTAAAAGTAACAGGGACTCCATTTTACCTCACCTTTGTTTGACCATAAATTGAGCATATTATGTCCTGAAATGACTCGACTTGCGCTGACATCTTGTTGTTGTCCCCCCCCCTAGGTTCCACAGTTTGGCACCCCGATTGTAAACAGTCCACTAAGGGAGAAGAAAAGCTGCGGGTAAGATAAACAAGTGTGGAATCGATATGCTCAGCTGTAGTAGCACTCTTAGCTGCTACACTTTGTCACCTCTGGACAGCACGTACTTTGTTACCACATAGATTGCTTACTGAATACTATGGCACACACATTTGAGAGTGTCCCTCATGTCCCATTCCCCATGCCCAAGCAAGTAGCCTGTCCTGTGTCCGAAGTGTTTCCCATTTCTGAATGCTCCAGTAGTATCTGCAAATGCTTCTGATCAGGATTTGAGTGGCATTCTATGTTACAATTATTCTCAAGACTGCCCGAAATATGTGATTTAGGAGATAAATTCTCTGCCGCAGAAAATGGATTGGCCATTCATACAGGTCTGCTGTTCATTTGTGGATGTCAGGACTTCTCTCTGGATTTTTTTTGCTTTGCGTAATAATGGGGCACACACTTTGACTTCTGTTAAAAAAACAAAACACCCATCTCTCAGTAAGCACCTATCCACTTAGGAGATCACCATGCTTATGGTGATGTGGGCATCAAGATTTTGTTTTTGCCGAGGAGGGCTAACGTGACTCCTCCTTAGGAATTAGTTATGAAAAATGGATTTTACAGTGACAAAAGTACAGTGACAAAAACTACCTATTAGGAGGGTAGATAGACAAAAAAATCCCTATTTCCCATAAATATAAAAGTGTCCATAAATAGTCTAGTGAAGCATACTGACTCTCTTTTGCAAGAAATTGTTAGCACTTCAGTAAACTTAGTGCATTGAGTTGCATCCAGAACTATATGCATGAGTTAAGGTTGAGCTACTGACAAATTGCTGGTTATAAGTGTGATACATTTTCAAGGGTTTTTTAAAATTAATTCACATTTCTACTGAACATCCAGAAGAGCTGAATAGCCACTGTGTTCTGGCACTGCCCAAATGCTTGACTGTTATTAATATGTAGCAATGTCATTAGCACCAACGGGCCAATAGCTTTTAATTGTGTTGTAGCAACCACAACAACCCCACTGTGATTTCAAGCATCTTTTGGCTAATTCAGAGTGACCTTTCAGAATCCCATCTAGTTTACCCCCAGCTCGCCAGGAAACTGCACATGTTCCGTCCAAGTATCTCTTCCTGTACTTTCTTACACAAGCAAGTGCGTGCTCTTTAGCTAAAGCGAGTTCAGTGTGCCAGAACACTCAGATCCAAAATGTAAGGAGTGTTTCATGGGAGTTGCTAGTCATAGAATGTTCTGAATACTGTGCAGGGATCAGATTCATACTTCTCTTCTCCCTGAAAACTAAAACACACTAAACTAAGTCTGGTTGTTGTTGAAGCAGTTTCTACATTCCTCATTGTTTTTTGTCTTCTGTCTGTAGCTGAATTTGGGTCCCACGCTGATCAGAGCTCTCACTGGTTTAGATGTTAGGTGGAGTCCATAAAAACAATGATTGCTTAAAATGCCTTCCCTTTGGATTGTTTCATAGAGTTCTGCTGATGCCAAAATAAGCAGGAAATAAAGCAACTCAGTGTATAAGCGCTGAGAGCTTGTTTCTTTCACGGTGGCCTGCCAGTTGATGATTCTGTTGTTGATAGCATGTGTTATTGATGAAATACTGCAAGCTGTTTGATATCCATTTGATTTTAAGGAGCTATCCATTTTTACTGCAATAGCTTCTCTTTACTTAAATATGTTTCTAGGGGAAACCTTTGCCTTTTTCACCCTTCCTTTCCTTTTTATGTTTCATGGCAGCATTCCTCATCTGATTACCTTTATACAAAGAGTTTGGTACTTCGTAGACCACGCTATTCAGAGGTTTGCATTTGTGCATATGTAAAAAAAAAATTAATAAGCTTCTCTGTAGAACGATCTCTGCTCTCTGCACTTGTTTGTAGCTGCTGCTGCTGTTGCTACTGCTTTTCCCATCCCGCCCCCACACACAGGGTTTCCTGTCTTCACTTCCCACTTGAACGCAGTCTTTTTCATTGGCATCAAACACACCTGATTTTGAATTTCCACACACAGCATTGTCCTGGTTGTCGTTTTTGTTTCCCAGAAGATGGCATACAAGAAGACGTGTGATGCTGTTTGTTGCTAATGTGGTTATATGAACAGGGTTATGGAAATCAACAATTCTGGATAATTAATGTATGGCTGTGATACTGATTATTTGGGGTATGTTTCCCATGCTGAGCCCCGAGGAGCAAAGTGGAAATTAGTTCAATAAAACGTCTTACCTAATTTATATTAACTTGTTCCAGTGGTGGTCATGAATCTGTTCAGTTTCTCTCTTTGCTGTATGTATGTAGGTGAGAATTCAACATGCTGTTGAAATCTGGATCAGGTAATAGGTGATGTGAAAGACCTCTACCTGAGACCTTGGACAATATTGATGCTGATAGACCAATGATCCAGCTCAGTGTAAGGGAGCTTCATGTATTTCTCCTTTCTGGAATCAAAATTAACTACATCAAATATGGCTACAGAGTAGGAAATCTAGACTAATGCAGCTTTGGATAAAATGGGTACTTTGGATGTAGTCTTTACTCTGCACATACTCCAGCTGACCACTCAGAGAATTACTCATACTTTCTCTTATCATGCCTTTTATCTCCTGGATGAAGAGGACAAAACAACTACCATCACTATATTATTCTCCTGCAACTGCCTAGTCTAGGTGGCAGCAGTGGCTCAGATGTGCCGCAGTTGGCTCGTAGCACTGCCTCCAAGTTCCATTTGTGCCATGGGCAGGGTAGCTCCTTTCTATGCATGCTGGACCCAAAACAAAGAATTTAGCTCTTATTACAAGTTTGTATCTACAGCAAACACTAATCTAAGGCCCCTGCCACACGGCAGGGAAAAGACGGGGCGAAGCGCGGCTTTTGAAAGCCGCGCCAAAAAAGAAACACCCCGGCGGGATCCCACGGATCCCGGTTGCTGCGCTCCGTTGCTCCCCGGCACGATCAGATGCCGGGGAGGAAGACACTAGTCGGAGGGGGAGGCTGCCGTACTGCGCATGCTCGAGCAGGGGGCCGGGGATGCGATGGCGGCAAGACATGCCGCCGATCCCACAGCCAGGATGAAGCGCCTCAACCAGATGAACCACCGAAGTAGGAGGAGGGCGGGGAGGGCGGAGTATAAATCAAATAAAATAAATAATAATAATAATAATCTTTGACGCGCTTCATCAGGGGAAGGGCCGGGTTGGAGGTGGGAGCGCGACGCCAGGCAGATGTTGCCGTGGGATCGCGCCCGTCTGATGCGCCTCCAATCTGGCCCGCTCCCGGCCCAAACTGCCTCATATGAACGGGGCCTAAGTTTGCCAATAAAACCAGGCCAGTTCTAATTTATTCATTGTCCCTCAAGGATTATAATTAGAGAGATGGAAGTGTCCATATAAATAACGTTGCAGTTCTAGCACTATTTATCCAAATTACCTGGATTATCCAAAATGGGATTAAGAGGTGATTTGAAAAACCATGCTGGTGACACACAATATACAAGCACAGGCCTCACAAAGGGCATCTTGTTTCTCCTCTATTTGTTCCTGATGCTTGGTCCTCCTTTCCCTCCCTCTGGCAGTTTTCATGACCTTTCCACTTTCCCACCCAATCACCAGCCAACCTTTAAGTGCTCCCCAGTCTTTAGCTTTCCTTCCTTCCCTCTCTGTGGCAGCCTCTCCTACCTACCTTTTTCTGCTCTCCCCCTTCAGCTTCTGCTCTTTTTCTCCCCTTTCCCTGCTTCCTTTCCTCCCTTCCATCTTTTACCTTTTTGGGTTTCTCTCCCTCTCTGCCTTTTAACTGACAGAAACCAAGGCTTGGAAAACTCAGCAATATTGTCTTGGTTGTGTTACACACACACACACACACACACCGCTGCTATGGCCACCTACATCTCGGAACAAAGTCTTGTGGGATCTCAGTGGGTATTAATCTCTAAAAGATACAGACATTGCTTTTATTACTTGGTTGTTTTTTACCTCTTCCAATGTTTTTTCTTTAGATTTTGGATTTTTCTGCAAACCTGGGGCGTTGCACAGGTTTGTAGAAAAGTTCCTCCTCTTCCATTTTTCTCCATCTTCCTTTTTTTAAAAAAATGGGAAAACCTGAGTTGGGAGAATGTGAAGTGTTGTAAATAGTATTGTTCTCTGATTTCCAGTGAGGACAAAGTTGCACTTTAGTATCAGAAACTGAGGTACAGTTGTGATTGTATGTGCAGAGCATTTTTTAGCTTTGAAGTTAAGGTGAGCACCCACTGCTTATATCAAGTTCCGTATGTGAGAAAGAGTCTAGCAAAGTTTTGGAATCTTGGTGACTACCTGGAAATAAATTCCATTGAAAATGGTGAATGTAGTACGGTTATTGTTGATTAAATTCTCCCTTTCTCACTTTACTTCACTCTTTCGTATGACCGTTCAACATTTTGTGTTCATCTTATAAATACAGGATTCCTGAAAACTGTAGCTTCATTATTATGGTTGTAGTTTGTTGAACATCATCCAGCATTCTAGGAATCAGCTCTTGCTTGGAGGAAATTTTGACTTTTAAAATATATATTTTTCAAGCTCTCTGGACTATAGCCCAGTCAGCTTTCATTCAAGAACATTTTTAAAGAGTATGAAATTGTCATGTTGGTTCACACAAAGCATACATTCAGTTGAGCAACATTTTATCCCTAATATCTGATAACCTCTGGAGGGTTTTTTTAGTTATTATTTAAACATGGAGGTTCTATTTAGTTATTGTCAAGCAGCTGCTAGAATTTGTCTGATCCTCCTAAAAAGTCATCTAAGCTAATAATTAAAAACTATCACTAAACAATAAATTAAATATAGTCCTAGCTCTTAGAAGGAGATATATATTTCAGTGGATCTCCTGGATGACAGACTCCTTGTTAAACTGGAAATGAGCCTCACAGAAAGTGCCAATTAAAGTAATACTCCCTTTTCCATAGTAGTTCTAGCTTTAGGAAATATGGCGCTTTCTTCACAAAGGTCTAAAGTTTCTTCAAACAAAGGATTATATAGTCTTTATGCTCCCAAACAGCTGAGCCTAGCATGGTTATTTCTGTGTCCAAGTATCCATTGCTTTTGTATGTTGTAAAGGTAGATTCAGACATTAATTTAGGTGTCTTGAACAGTGCAGTTTCATGACCGGCTTAATTATAAGCCACTTTGAACTAGACTCTATGGCACAGTTATCTCCTAAATAAATAAACAAATGACAGGAGTTTTCCATTCTTACGGCCCCAAATAATGTACTCTAGCAAAAGAAGCTATAACTGCTAGAAAGCACTTCTTTGCTGTGGATTTTATAGTAGCAGTGTTAGTGTTTTGTTTGTGGTTGCGCATACATCCGTGCAAGCATGAAGGGGTCAGGGGAGTTTGTGTTTCTATGCCCAGTTTGTCCATCATAAGCATTTAGCTGCTGTTGAAGTGGTTGCATACTGAAGTGTTGTCTGCAGCGGTTGCCTGCCCCAAAGAGCTACTTACAGTGGTGTGTGTGTATGCCTCTTCAGTTCTTGTGTGAAAAGCATTGGAAGGTACGAAGCCACTTTGCAAATAATTTCTTGATTCCTTTAAAGTCATTCAAATGCTTGGTTACATCCAGAAGCTTAAAGTTATATAAATGAAACTTCAGTGTGAAGTGCAAATTTTGACCTAGTGATAAAAGATAAAATTACTGTGCAGGTTTAAAAGAATGCTGTTTAATTATCTTGACATGAGTTGTTTAACACACAAGGTTTCTTGGCTTCCCTGGCAAGGTGCTGAGCTTCATAAGCCTTTGAACAGCCCCATGTCAAGTGGAGAAACCAGCTGTTTTTGTCAGAGTGCCTTCATACTTGGAGATGCTTCACCTGATTTCCAGCTTGCCGTGCAGCTGTTAAAATTATTAGAGCCCTGCCAGAGTGTGACAAAATGTCATTGTAAGCTGTGGAGTGATGGTTCTTTGTCAACATGACTTGCTTTTCTGAGCTCTGCTTTTTCTTTTCTTTTCTTTTTTTGAGTGAAGTGTGGTTTTTGTAGCTGTCTCTAGCCATGTGTGGTTAATTACTCATGTCCATCCATTATCTTTTAGCACTCTCTCCTTATTCCTGCCAAGGGTGGATACTTCCAATCACAGGACTTTTGCAGATGAAAGTCAATAGGCTTTAATTGTTTGTACCTGGGAACAAAGAATTGGGAGAAACAGGCAGTGAATGTTCAAGCATAGCAAGCATGCTAAGGCTTTTTTCATTTTGAAAGGCCATTTTTGAGCTGTGCAATCCCTAAGAGATTGATGGCTAAGATCTAGACCACATGTGAGAACTCTGTGGCACTCTGTGGCGCTGCTTGATTAAGGGGAAGAAGCCATCTTATTTGAGATTTTGACTTCAAACCTCTGAGATATAGAACACCCCTGTAACTGGAAGCAAAAGTGTATATATGTTAACCTTGTATAGTCTGGCATTGGTTTCCCTAATAATTCTTGAAATCCATGCACTTATGCAATGGAGAATTTTACATTGATTTTACTGATATTTGAGTCCCTATAATAGGTTTAACGGAGCTGCGGTGGCTCAAGTGGTTAAGACGCTGAACTGCAGGCTGTGGAAGGTCAGTAATTCAGCAGTTCAAGACCCGGGTGCCGCAAGACGGGGTGAGCTCCTGTCTCTAGTTCCAGCTCCTGCCAACCTAGCAGTTCGAAAGCAAGAAATTGCAAGTAGATAAATAGGACCACTTCAGTGGGAAGGTAACAGCGTTCCGTGCACCTTGGTGTTTAGTCATACCGGCCACATGACCACGGAAATGTCTTCGGACAGCGCTGGCTCTTCGGCTTTGAAACGGGGATGAGCACCGCAACCCTCGAGTTGGATTTGACTGGCTTTCGAGCAAGGGAACCTTTACCTTTACCTTTTTAATAGGTTTAAAGTTGTTTTTAAATGGTACTGAGCTAAGTAATAGAAGCCCATTGTACCCCAATGACATCAGGTAGTGGTACTGCATCCATAAAGTGCTGATCTGGGAGTTGCACTACAGTAATTTTTGCAAACTGTCTATGTGTGGCAAGCCATGAAGAGTCATTTTAGAGTGAATTTTAATGATCCGTTCCTTCATCTCACTTCTGCCTCTAGGGACGTTTTCTTTTGAACTGTTATTAGCAATGTTAAGTGACTGCAGAAAAATTGCAAATCAAAACCAAACTGTTCCTTCCTCCGTAGCTGTTTTCACCACCTTGTATAATGAACTCCATCAAAAAACTAAGGCAGGTACTGTAAAAGCAACTCTGGCACACTATAATTCTACTCATGCATCCCAGATGGTTCGATGTTCAAGGGATTGTTTCAGATATGGTGCCCCCGCCATACCAACCTACAGAGCATGACTTGAACATCTGTAATATTAAATCAGGTAGCCATCACATCATTGTGTCAGGATGATGCAGATGGCTCCGGTGCTTTTAGAAATTATCTGTCTGCAATGCATGGCAAAGTCAACACTGAGTTCAAGCAGCAGTGTCATTTATTAAGATGTGAACCAGCCCAGGCTTGGGAAATAATCCTGAGTAATGAGGAAACAGAGTTTCCTAGGAGAGTGCGCTCTTCATACGGTATACCTTGAGTGGGAAAATAGAAAAAAAGAATATACACAATGTATAAAAGGAAAGTGGGAACACTTTCTGTTAAGTCAAAAGAGTGGAAAAGGGGAACTGGAGGACTAGAGGAACAATCAGCATTTATAGTGCCATCCTAAACAAAGTTGCATCCTTCTAAGTAATTTGATTTCAGTGGGTTTAGGAGGATGTAACTGTTTAGCATGGTACCTGTTGGATTACTTGCTGGACAGTTCTTTCTTCTTCTTTTTTAGTATCCCTGACTTTAGTGGGACTTGGTCACTGATAAGCAGACGTAAGATTCAGCCTTGGTGCTGCAAAAAGGAGGATAACTCCAAAGACAGTGTTTCAGCAAACATAGTCTCAGTGTCTACAGGCAACGTTACAGCAAACATTAGAAAATAAGCCAAACAAAACATACTGTCTTCAAGCATTCACAATGTATCATTTTAGGAGAAGATAGAAAATATTTACAGATGCCAGACTATTAGGCAAGTTTTCCGTACAGGAGAGTAAAAAAAAAAACTTTAGAAGCTCTCAGGGAAAATGTGATAAAAATGGATCTAGAGCAATTCTAACTAAAAAGGAGTGATTGGATTTGGGGGGAAGGTCAGTTAGGAATGTAATTAAGACAATAAGGACACGTTCTTAAATCGTCCCTCTAGCAAGGAACCACAAATCTAAGGATGACCACTCTAGGTGGGTGGTTTTTTTAAAAAGTTGGAGCTGGGGTGTCCAGAAATATGTCAACTAAGCAAAAGTTTTTCTCTCAGATGAAAAGTGATAACAGGCAAATGAGGTCAGGCTGACAGATGACAAAGGGCAGAGCTATCAGAGAATCATTTAGCTAAAGGTCAAAATAATAGAACGCTGGTAAGAGCACAAAGTCTAATTGCAGAGTATGGAGGAGGGGAACAAGTAAACAGTTGCAGACAGAGGAAAAGAACTAGGACCACAGAGCTATGTTGTTGGAGAACTTGTGACCTTATATAACTCCGTCTGAAAGTTTAAAGGTTAAGCAGATGCAAAATGTGAATTTATGTGATGCCAAAGACACAGTGGTACAGTGACAAAACATTGTGATTGGGATGTCTTCAGCATGCCCATAACTGCCTCTGAGTGCAAAACCAGTGCTGTGCCATGATTGCCTTTTCGTCTCTGAGATTCAGTGTGCTCATTCTTAGAAAGTGTTTCGCGATGCTCGCAAGCTTTCTAGCCATATGTTCAAGGGTCCCTTCAAGTCTGTTCTACACATTTTCTGCGTGGGAATCAAATAGGAAAACACATACACACAAAAATGTGTAATGTACTTTAGATGAATTGCAATATTTATACTAACAAAAATACATCCAAAGCCAAAGTAGGAGTTAAAGCCTCACTGAACTAACATACAGAGTGCCAAAGTAATAAGGTAGAAGAGGTATAGTACAGTAAGAGCATCTGGAGCAGATCATGAAAGAATAGGTTTATATTAGGGGAGGTGGTCCTTCAGTTAGTTTGGCCCAGTGTATTTAGGACTTCAAAGGTTAAAAACTGGACTTGGACCCAGAAACTACTGGGAACCAAGGCAATTGTAAAATTGGTATTAAAATTAAAAGCAGGTCACCTAGAACACATTGTAACAGTCTTTGTAGTTCAATGTGAAGGTTGCATGAGCCTCTAATTAAATTCTATTACTTTCCTAAACTGGCAATCATCAATTTCTAGACTGGAAATCAATAAAATATTACTGTTTGGGGTTTTAGGCTCTGTTCCCTTTCAGTACACATATCTCCCTGTCGGTCAGAGCAGTTTCACACTTTGTCTGGCAATTATGTTTGTCATTGGTGTGTTAGTGTCACACTAGATGTTTCCCACAGCAAATATGTGAAGTGTTAACAAGAGCTGTGCATCCTTAAACTTCTGTATACATGGTTCAGGGAACTAATGGAAATATTCATACATATTTCCAGGGTAAATAAATTTGGGGCTTTCACTGTTACATACGTAAGAGTGCGGTTACGTGCTGTCTGTTTATAACATGGCCACAAAAAAGCATGGTAGGTTTTTGTATTGTGGAGCAAACAAGCGCACCATAGCTGTACTCAAACAGTGCACTGCTCCCAACTCTAAAAGCATGTTCAGTTATGATTTATCATCTGTTGCTGCTCTTCTATTCTGGCTAAGTTTCCTGTATCTATAGATATGAGTGGCATAAATGTAATAGGTATGGCTCAGGGTGGGCATTCAGTGGTGAAGTATACCGGCTGAATTTTTGCCTGTCACAGACTTCCTGTCAGAAAAAAGATGGCAAACCTAAAGGTCTGAAAGATCCATCGTTTCTTTTTTTGGTCCTTGCTTCTACAAACCATTGGAACCTGTAATGTCCCTCATCTTCACAGAAATGCATGTCTGGTGCTTTAAATTCTTCATTTCATGCACTCTGTTTCATGGACGCACTAATGCAAAATGGCTCTAGAATCCTGTTTCCAGGGAAATTAAATAGTACAGTGTATTTACATACTAACTGTATGAGACTAACTAGCAGAAAACTGGGTGTTTGATTTCCTAGCAGAAAGTCTGAATGATCTTTCACAAGAAATCTCTGCAAAAAGATAAGAATCCCCTGCTCACTTCCTTTTTTTCTTCACAAATAATTCCAAAGTGAGGTCTTAGACACAAACTGTTTTTGGTAGTATGCAATCTCTGTTCCCTGACCCCAAGCAAGTGAGAAGAGGATGTGCATTTGGATGTGCATCTGAATACATGGCCTACTGAAAGTAATCCTATATTTATAATTCCCTTACGTATTGGCCATTTCCATCTCTCCCAATAGCTGTGCAGTGCGCTCCATCAGCCATTGGCCTATCAACCACCACCCAAGAGTACTCGCATGCCATTGGCTGGGTGCTGGGTCCACTCCTCTCCTCTGCCGACTGCCTGCCTGGACACTCTTCTCTCACAGAATAAACTACAAAACAGCTGTCTCTCCTGACAAAGAAACTTCTCCTCCTTGGCTCCTGTGGGACTAACTTCTCTCAGTGGCTGTTGCTAGGCAACCATGCTTGGTTCTGTCAGTAAAAAGGCAAAGAAAGGAAGCCTTTCCCAGGCCTTTGTGGGGAACTCATTGGGGCCAGTCCTGACTAGGGTTGCCAGCTCCAGGTTGGGAAATTCCTGGATATTCTGTGGTGGAGTCTAAGGAAGCCAGAGTTTGGGGAGGGCAAAGGCCTCAGCTGAACAGAATGCCGTAGAGTCCATCCTCCACCACAGTTATTTTCTCCAGGGCGGGAGAGATCTATTGTCTGGAGTTCAGTTGTGATACCCAGAGATCTTCAGGCTCCACCTGGAGGTGGACTACCCTAGGCATAGCAGTTAGCACTTCAGAGCAGGGTCTGCCAGACCCTGGTTCTTGCTGTGGAAGTTGAGTGGGTGATTTTGGACCAGTCACAGACTTTCAGCCTAACCTACCTCTCAGAGTTGTTGTATAGATCAAAAGGAGGAGAGGAGAATGATGTAAGCTGGTTTGGTCTCCACTGCAGAGAAAGACTGTGCTTTTCCTCCTGGGGAACCATTGCTGCCAATATCCAGGTGAGGGCTGGAGATCACAGAATTAAAACTGCTCTCCAGATGGCAGAGATCAGCTCCCCTGGAAAAAACAGCTGCTTTGCAGGGTGGACTCTGTGTCGTTATACCCTGCTGAGGGTCTCCACTGAGGAGAAAGATTGTAGTTTTCCTAAGTAGAGGCTACAGGGAGGGGAGAAGAGATGGAAACCTGAAGTCAGAGGGGCAGATAATGGTACATTAATGGTTGGCTGGGAAGGAAATAGGGTTGCTGCCTCTGGGTTGGGAAATTCCTGGAGATTTGAGGGGTGGAGAGACTGAGATTTGAGAAAGGGTGAGACCTCAGACAGGTACAAAGCCATAGACACGACCCTCCAAACCAGCCATTTTCTCCTGGGGCATCATTGTTGCCAATCTCCAGGGGAGCAAACAATAACGAAAACAACCGTGATGTTATATTATGAAAATATATTTAGACTACTATTCTGTAGTGAATTGTATTTCTTTATCACATTATACAAATATACATATACACACAATGGGAATTGCATATAATACCATTTCATATAACAGCTTTTTCTAAGTGTGCTGCGTGAATATCATTAGTTGCGTGTATGCGTATATTATAATGTGATGAAGAAATACGATTCACTACAGAATAGTAGTCTAAATATATTTTCATAATATAACATCATGGTTGTTTTCATTATTGTTTGCATCCTTCACGTGATCTCTGTTGTTTCTACAGTCTCCAGGGGAGGGCTGGAGATCACTCAGAATTACAACTGCTCTTCAGATGGCAGAGATCAGTTCCCCTGAAAAAAACGGTAAGCTCTGTCTCATTATACCCTGCTGAGGTCACCACAGCAAATTGACACTGAGTGCCCAAGGGCCAGGGCACCTGCCCAAAGCCTCTTTCTAGAGCTCATTGTATTTATTTCCACAATGGGCCTTATTCCTAGTGTAGTATAAACAGATGACACTGGCATTTTGATGAGCCATCAGATGAGCATCCTGGTTGTCAAGCAGCACAATTTGCCTTGGCAAGTAGAATGTCACCACTTCATACCACTTCTAAATTGAAAGTAAAGCATTGGCTTTACTTTCATTTGCCATCAGTGATGTTGTCACATTGCCAAATGTGATTGGGTAGCACTGTTAAGCCATCCCATTTGCAATGTGATCAGCTGGGATTATTGAAGAAGAAAAGCTCTCTGCAAAAAAGTTGCAGCAAGATTGCTATGAACAACAAAAAAGGTGTTGTTTGAGGAGGAGGCAGGTTGCACCATACATTTCCATTTTTATCCTCAAAAAATGTTAACGAGTTAATATGTTAAAGGCATTTGTGAATTTCCTGTATTGTGTGGGGGGTTGGAATAGATGACCCTAGAAGTCCCTTCCAACTCTATGATTCTATGAGTTTGGAAAACCTCTGGTTAATATGTCCACTGCCTTGAAGCTGGGAAACCACTTTATTCTCTAAGGACCTTCTTAATTCTTCCTTCTGATATCAGTTTTGAATTGAGAGCAAAGTACTTGCTTTGTTTGCCATTAATCTTACTCTTCCAAGCTCACAGCCTGTATTTGGTGGTGGGAGGGAGATATTTAATTCCTTGAAGGATAAGTCCTTGTTGCCATATCTTTTCAGCTGGATGTTTCACATTTCTTTTTAGTCATATGCATGCAAGCCGATTTTGTGTGTGTGTGTGGTGGGGAGGAGGAGAATTGTGATTTCATTTGACTTATCTTTATGAATATCATTGTATTGTCATGAATTTTTAATGTGTTGAAATAGAGGCTTCCAACATTCTTTTTGCATGCTTACAATTTAGCTAAAGTAATAAGAATCAATATTGTTTTTGTTCTACAAAGAAAACAACATCGTCACTAACTGTTGGATTAACAGCTAAATCAAAGTTAGTCTGGTTTCTCTTGCTTGAACTTGTTTTGTCATAGGAACAACTGAGGCTATTATCCCGTGAGTATTTTTACTTGGGAGCAAATGGCACTGAAAACAAAGGAATTTGTTTCCAAGTAAATCTGTGTAGAATTGGGATCCTCATGGCTGTGCTGAGGTTTGAGCTTGAAGCTTTTAGCTCACAGGATAGGATCTTAACAAGTATGGTACATCACAGGATGGTGGAAACTTGCCTAGTTATTGTAAGCAAGAGGAAGAAATGAGGGGAGCAAAACTGGGGGGGGCAGATCTTGATGGGGAATGCGGTAGAGCTGTGTAAGTTATCTTGCAGCTCTTAGTTACATGAAAAATGGAACTTGGACTTTATAAGTTACTGCCTAATCAGGCAGTCACTAGATGTGCTTCTGATCTTCACAGTCTAGATATTTAAGGTAGTGGAGTTCGTAGTGATCCCCATCACGCACAGCTGGCCTTTTCAGTAATTGCAGATGTATCCCTGCAGAGCAGATAATTGCCTTGGGATACATCACTACCATATCACTGATTGTTTGCTGCTGTGTCCAACAAAAATGCAAAAGGCTCCTTTATGGATATGAAAAGGCATTCCGTCTCCAACCAGCATAGTTATTGGTAGGTCTTATGCAAGCAAAATGTGTCCTTTCAACCCAAAAAGGATTCTCCAGAGAATTTGCCAGTTGAGAGTTTCCAGGAGGCAAGGCTGAGAGATCCTTGAAACATTTCATTCCGGTTGCTGAGTCAGAGAACAAGATAGTCATGAAATCTACTAATTCTCACTCTACCCTGTTCCTTTCATCCTTCCTCCTGCTCCTTCCACTGTGCAGCATATCTGTAGCTCTGGTCACTGCAGCAGGACAGGGGTAGGGAAGATGCATATGGCTCCTCTCCCAATTCAGTGCTGTCTTTAAAAGTACAAAGGGAGCCTCAAGGTTGTGATCTAACAACCGTATTGTAAGACAAAAGTGAAGTGACAGGAGGAGAAAAAGTGAGAATCATGGAATTAAAAGAGGCAATACTAGTCAACTATTAAAAATAGGTAGTAGCACATTTTGAAGTTGATTAAATACAGAGTTGAGCCTTAATAGGAATTTGTGGAATATATTTGATTTTCTGAACTATGGAAATTTAAATGTCTTAACACCACTAATCAATATGAAGAATACTCAGTTTCTGTCTCAATTTCAAATGACCTTTGTGAGCTATCTTAATGAGTGCTGAAACTCAGCTGTTGCTGCTATGTCTGCAGAGACAGTATAAAACTAAGTGACCTACAAAGCAGAAGTTTTCCTCTAGGAGAATGAAGATTGCAATGCAAAGTGTTCTGCATTTTATTATGTCTGTGTCATATTCTCAAAATAAAGTTTTCTTTGCCTTTGATTAGCTGAAACATGGTTGAATCTCCCCCCTTTGTAAACATTGTTATTTGTTATTGTTACCATTAAGACACAGCTGAATTATGGTGACCCCATAGGATTTTCAAGGCAAGAGATGTCCAGAGGTGGTTTGCCATTGCCTGCCTCCGTGGTACCCTGGTATTCCTTGGAGGTCTCCCATCCAAATACTAGCCAGGGCTAAGCCTGCTTAGCTTCTGAGATCTGATGAGATCGGGCTAGCCTGGGCTATCCAGGTTGGGAAGCATTGTTATAGCCATGCACATTATGATCTGTGCCTGTCTAAGAAGCAGAATAAAGGCCACACATGTACTATCACAAGCAAGTTTGAGCCTTATCATGACCTTTGTAGCTGGGTTCCTGTACTCTTCAGCAACAACATCCCCCAAAATATGCCAGGATGCTGTTCTGATGCCTTGGTGTTTTGCATTCATCCTTGCTGGCTGTGTATGAGAAGCCACCTATACAGCATAGAATGCAATGCCTCCATGCACCAAGAGAAACCCAGCCTGCATCACAAATTCATGATGAAAACATTAACTGTTTTCATTAACGTATGATGACTTCATCATCTGAGGATGAATGCAACTTTGCATTTCAAGCAGTGTAGAAAATCTGATGTTTCCTTACAGCATAACTCTTTTTTTTTCATACAGCCTACAAGAACATCCTCAGAAAGTATTTATTCCAAAACTGGCTCCAGTATACCTGGCTCACCAGGACACTCAATCTATGTAAGTATCATTACATATTACCTGATAGTGCTACCTAAAAGAATTTGCTACTGAGATTTTGAGAATCACCAGCAAGAACAAGATAATCCAGTATCCATTAACTCTCTATTCAAATAGCCATATTCAGAAATCACAGGCAAAGACATTGGAGGCTTTATTACTGGAGGCAGATTATTGATCCAAAACACAGGTATTATCATAATCCAAGCTTAAAAAAGGAAAAACCCTAGCTGAAGGTTTCAGTTCTATCTGGTAATAAATAGCCTGGAAGGAAGAAGACTTGGGAACTCTGAATATTTCTTACCCCTAATGTAACCAATCCTAATGAGTTTCTGCTGTTGGGTGTGGCCTATTATGCTAATGAGTTTCTGCTGGGCGTGGCCAGCTCGGGAGCCAGCCGGAACTCCGTTCCTGTGCGTTCCTGCCCAAAAATAGCCCTGCTAGTTCCTAGTGTGAAACGGAACCACTTGTATGCATTCAACAAAGTGTTAGAGCTCTATTTCAGTATGCGAAAACTGTAGAATGGAGAAGCCAGAGTGAATTCCACAAACCACTGCAGGCGTTATTTATGACCAGCCTCAGACCATGGGAAACTGGAACCTAGTGCAGAACAGGGAAATAACAGCACTGTCCCTGCCTAGCATGCACCAAGTCTCTAGCATGGCAAGCACCAAAGGCCACTGGACATGGGAGGCAGGTATCTAGTGCAATCAGGGAATGTCTAGTTGCACCCTGGCTGGTAGCTGGAAGTGAGCAGCATCTTTAACTGAGGTTATGTTTTAACATCTTCTAATTGTCCTTTCTGTGTATACAACCAGGGTAATTAAAAGATAGGTTTTCCCAAAGGGCATTTGAAGGGTGGGCTGGTTATTATAATGCTTGTAAGCAGAATTCCGAGTCTTTGCTTTAAGATAGTGCCTGTTATTTTAATAGCTTTGAGGCTGCCAGCAGTGGAGTCCTGGCGAGCTTACATGGGAGGGATTGTGAGAACACTCTGTGTTGACTAATGAAAAGACTACGAAAAATCTTTCTTTGTAATATACTTCAGGTTTTATATGTGTGGGGAAGGGTGGAGAGATAGTAAAAACCGTCAGGAGTTAATCCTTCCTCCTTGACAAAACCTTGAGGACACTCTGTGAATGCAATGAGAAGTCTTGATTAGAACATTATTGGACCATCACACGGTACCTACAGGACCGCCTCTCCCTATATGAGCCCCAGAGAGCTTGACTCTCTTCTGACCAACACCTCCTGGTGATCCCTGGCTCGAGGGACGTCCACCTAGCCTCGACCAGGGCAAGGGCTTTTTCGGCCCTTGCCCCAACCTGGTGGAACATGCTCCCACCAGAGATATTACAGTTCCGCAGGGCCTGTGAAGCGGAGCTGTTCCACCAGGCTTTTGACTGAGGCGGCAGACATTCATCCATTCTGGCCTTTCCTGCTCATGGCCTCTCTCCCAGTGCCTGCTGACAGATAATATTATTGGGCACTGGAGCACCTGTATTCACCTGATATGAGGCATGGGGTTTGATTATATTGTTTATTGTGACATTGATTGTTCTATTGCTTTTACTGAGACCAAGCTGTAAGGTAAGGAACAGTGTCTATGCACTGCACATAATACATGTTTGTTGTACAGGCAAAAAGGGGTATAAATTGAATAAACAAACAAACAGTGATTGTGAGAACAGGACTGGGTATATGGTGCTTATTTAGGTGATCCAATGAGTAATATGGGCTTCATAAGGCACCCACCTCAGGAACTTTATCTCATCCTGGTCTCCTGTCTCTCCCCAGTATTGACAAAGATGATTGTGGGACAGACAGGTTACGCAGTGATCATTTGGTTTCTTATCTGTCAGCAAGAGGATGTCCTGAGGGAGGAAAATGTACTTCTCCTTCCAGGGACCTTTTCTACTCCTGCTCTTAATGCATTTACAGGACCCAAATGGGAGTTCAAGCACCATCACTTGATTTCAGAAGTGAGAGGGGCTAGAGGTCAAATCTGCCTGAAAACTACGCCTCTGAGCCTGAATACCAGATCTTTCAGTAACCACATTTTTGTTTTTAGGCCTTAATGAAGAGACCATTAAAATATTCTGCCTGGACGTTAACAAACCAGCCAAGTAAAGATCTGCCACAAATTATATATTAAATTGCCAATTTGAATTGGTTTTAATTCAGCTGTGGGCTTCCTGTAAGGAACCCTAGGAAATGTAGTTTCAGTTTTATCCCTGTAGAGTCAGAAACTGTTAAAGAAAGAAAGGACTGGCATCATTGCAAGCTGGGGCCTTTACTTGTAAAGTAGTCTGGCCAGAAGGCCTACACAAGGAGTAAGATGAAAGAGTCTGGCTGGTGTTAATTCCAGAAGGCCGTTGAGGCAAGTGCAGGGAGAAAAAACAGACTGTGGCTGAGAAAGCCAAGACCAAGCTGTAAGGTAAGGAACAGCACATAATAATACATGTTTGTTGTACAGGCAAAAGTCTACTAAAAGGAAGGACACATTTATGTAGGCTCAGGAAGGATGATAAGCAATTGCTGGGGAGGGGGAAGGCAAAGAGCGTGTAACATTATTCAGGAAGCATATGGTTTGCATAGAGATGCCGTGGTTGAAGGAGGACAGTTTTAGTCCAAGTCTGAGAAAGTTTAAGCCTGCCTGTGGATGAAAACTCTGGTGATTGCTGCTAATGATTCTCCATTAGAAATCCCACTCTACAGAAAAGCAATGGAAGGAGCCATAAACCTCTTAGAATCAGATCCCCTAACTAACTAAAAGGGCAATAGTAAGGGATGATGTGGAATGTCAAACACTTAATGGTGCCCTGAGTTGTGTGGCGTTTGCAAATGGTGGCTGCAGCTTCAGAAACAATGTGGTGTATGCTGTGTAACAAAACTGTAGGGGGTTTACTTGCAGGGTTTTTATTCTGTTCACATCAGCTGGTGCGTAAAATAGTCCTCCTCTTTCAAGGTATAGCGCTTGTCCTGGAGGGCAGCCAGAATGTTGTCATGGCTGGATTCATTCCCTTTGGAAAGTTTGGGAAAGTCAGCTCCTTATTGCATGGTGAAGCCTCTAATCTGCAACACCAGGCAATCTTTATGTATTATTGCTACATACAAGGCTGTAATTATAATGTCTTGCTTTAACAACACTAGCTTTAAAATGTCCAGGCATGCATGCAAAACATTTTATAGTTATATTTGCACAAGGTCGTGTGGGATAGGGCTGAGAAATTTTTTTAAAACAAGTTTGAGGAAGATGAAGTGGAACTTTAATTTGGTCTGTTTGTGACATAATATAAAATTGGCACTAGCAAGCAGTGTTCTCTCTAAGCTGAGTTAGTGTGAGCTAGCTCAGTTTTTTAGCCTCTGGCTCACACATTTTTGTCTTCGCTCAGGAAGGATGGCTCCAGAGCAAACTAATTCATGCAGTAGCCAAATCGCTTGCTCACAACTTGAATGCCAGTAGCTCACAAAAAGTTGAATTTTTGCTCACAAGACACCACAGCTTAGAGGGAGCATTGCTAGCAAGCCAAATGGTTGATAACTAAGGTTGGAAGGTTTAGCCTATCCTGTCCAGTGTGTATTGGTCCCCAACAGTGCTAAAGAACAGGGATATTTTCGCTCATGCTAGTGAGCTGTGCCTTTTCCTTCCCCCCACCTCTACCTAGGAGAAGTAGATTCCCTAAATGTGGCTGAAAATTGCAACTGTACTTCTGTGCATCTTAAGAAAATGATAGAGAGCTAGGGGTCATTTCCTGCCGGAGTGCACCGGAGCAGCGCACTGGCAGGAAGGAGCCCCGCAAGCCCTGCCCCCAGCTCCCAGATGCAAGTAAGCCTCCCCCTGCACCTCTCTCCATCTGCCCGCCCATGCGGACGGGCAGGGAAAGGCCTTCAGAGCCCTTGCCACGCACCTCTCCCCGCCCACAGATGCAGACAGGCAGGGAAAGGCCTTCAGAGCCCCCCCACGCGCCTCTCCCCACCAGCCCGCCGATGCAGATGGGCAGGGAAAGGCCTTTAGAGCCCCCATCACATGCCTCTCCCCGCCCACCGATGCGGACAGACAGGGAAAGGCCTGCAGAGCCCCCCCACGCCCCCTGTGTGTTTGTGTGTGTGTCTCTGCCCCTCTCTGTGTGCCTCTCTGCCCCCTGTGTCTTTGTGTGTGTCTCTGCCCCCTGTGTGTTTGTGTGTGTGTGTCTGCCCTTCTCTGTGTGTGTCTCTCTGCCCCCTGTGTGTTTGTGTGTGTGTGTCTGCCCCTCTCTGTGTGTGTCTCTGCCCCGTGTGTGTGTGTGTCTCTGCCCCCTGTGTGTGTGTGTGTGTGTGTCTGCCCCCCCTCTGTCTCTCTGCCCCTCTGTGTGTTTGTTTGTGTGTGTGCGTGCGCCCGCCACCTTGTTTACACCTCATTAAAAAGGTATAACAAGGGGTCAATTGTTAAGAATTAGAGTAGATGAACTCACACTTCATCTGAGACTGGGATTTAGTTCATATTATTCAATAGCCCCTAAAGGTGAGTTTTTGTCTTAGTTATAAGCTTATACTATGTTTTTCAAACAGGAAAAAGTAAAGTGAAAAATATAAAGTGAAAAACTCATGTAATTTCTCTCTGCTGATTCTTGTGTATCTAAGAAAAGTAATTTATTTTGAACAGAAGAGTTTTACATCTCATGTCTTCTAATGTTGGACAAATTCTTATTTATTTATTTATTCTTCATTTAGAAATTTATATTCTAGCTTTTCTCATAGTTCAAGGTTGCTTATAATTATACTGGATACTTAGTTAGCACCTTTATGCCAAAAAGTTTGTTGATTTCTGCTTTACCCCTTGATTTAGAGTGGAAAGTATAGTCTTCTATTTTTTGAAACAAGCAATTGTATTTTTTCTGACTTAAAACCAAAAATAAAATAGCAAACACCAATTTATTTTAAATTTTAAATAGCAAGGCAATATGATGTAGGATGGTATCAAGATTCTTTTGGTGGGGGTGCTGCCGACGAGCCCATGCACTCCAAAGCACTGATAAAGTATCACCCCACACCACCCTGAAAAAGTAGAACATACTGACATGGGTGTGTGTGTGTTGCAATGTTTTATCAATACAGAAGTATACATGGATGGAATTAGAGGCATGTCAACTGAAGGAGGTGAATGCTGCAACATGTTGCACGTACACAGGTATAATTCAGAAATTTTTAAAAGCAGAACAATAGAGAACTCACAGTGCATTAGTTGCACTTTGGTTTCAAGGGCAGGTAGTTTAAAACGTAAGATGTGGAAAAATTTGGAAGCATCCTTACAGAAAGCCAGTACTGACAGTGTACCTATGGGTATAGAAATTAGTAGAACACAATAGTATCGGTGACTATGAAAGACTACTATTTTAAATATTATTTTTTTAAAAAATCTAGAGAACTTGTACGCCACCTAACCCTGCTCAATAAAACAGAACCAAACGAGTCATTAAAAACAAGACAGGACATAAAAGCAGCTTCAAGAAGCATTGATCAGCTAACATTGCATTCATAGAACTGTCTGCAGGCCAGAAACAGCCCATGAAATCAGCTAAGAAAAATGGAACTCTTACTTAAGCCTGGGTAAAAATAAATGTTTTGGCTTGTCACCTACAGAAAAAGATAGGCACCAGGCAAGCCTCAAAGGGTAAGGCAAGGCATCATCATTGGAAAAAGCCCTGTCTGTGGCTGCCACCTGCCTAACCCCTGCAGACAGGGGCACAAACAGCAGAACCTGAGAAGATGATTGTAACTGGCAGGCTGGATAGTATGGGACAAAGTGGTTCTTCAAGTACTCCAGCCCCAAAGCCTAAGAGGCTGGCTTGTGCATCCACAGCCAAAAGGGGCTATGAATCCCATGACATGGTTGTCTAGGTACAAAGGTAACCTACAACTGCCTAGTCCATAAAGCCAGGTCCAAACTGGATTCCATTTATAGTTTCTTTAAGTTCTGAAAGCAGTATTATTCTCTGTATATATCTCATAACATGAAAAATCAGGTCATTCATTACTCTTCAGTTCAAGTCCAGTGGCACCTTTAAGACCAACAAAATTTAACCAAAAGCTTATACCTTGAATAAACCTTTTCTGGTCTTAAAGATGCCATTGGACTTGAATGGCTAGTAGCCACTGATAGACTTATCCTTCATGAATTTATCTAATCCCCCTTTAAAGCAGCAAGTTCCACATTTTAATCACTCTCTGTGTAAAGCAGCATTTCCTTTTGTCCATCCTGAACCTACTGCCCACCAGCTTCCTTGGATGCCCTTGAGGTCTAGTCAGTCTTTCTTTCTTTCTTTCTTTCTTTCTTTCTTTCTTTCTTTCTTTCTTTCTTTCTTTCTTCCTTCCTTCCTTCCTTCCTTCCTTCCTTCCTTCCTTCCTTCCTTCCTTCCTTCCTTTCTTTCCCAAAGTTAGAACAAAACATAAGGGAGGGTAGGCTTGCCAGCTCTGAGTTGGGAAATACCTGGAGATTTTTGGGGTGGAGCCTGAGTGGTGGGTGTTGCCTTCTGACATAATTTCGGTGATGTCAGGGGGTGTAGCATATGCAAATAAGTTATACTAATGAGTTATGCTAATGAGCTCCTACCGCCGGCCAGATCTGGGATGGTGGGTTGGCGGCCCTTTGAGCAGGCACCCCCCCCCCCGGGGTCCTGGCAATGTTATTTAAGAGCCACGTACACCAGTTAGTACCATGCAAGGCCAGTTCAGTTGCCAAGCTGAAAATTTAATTCAATGTGCTAGTGTAACCCCATCTTGTGGGTTCTGTGGGGCAGAACTTGGATTGAATCTTGCTATAATTCATAGAGAATAAAACATTTTTACTTTTCACATAACATCATATCATGCAACAAAACATAGATCTTAGTAACAGTACAGAAATGTGATATTTTAAAGTCCAAACAATTAACTTCTCCCTCCTTCACAGCTTGCCACCCCCAAAGTCCATCTTTTTGCTCTTTTTGGTGGGCCAAGAAGTCTTCAGCTGAACACTGTGCACTGGCTTCCAAAATGAGGGTCCCAAATGAACTCCCCACTCGATAACACAGCTCTGAAACAATCATTTGAAAATTACAATTTAGAACAAAAGTCTTCCACCCTTACCAGTTTCCCTAGGCCTGGCAGCAGTCAAGGGTTGCCAGCTCCCCTTGGCCACTGGCACGGGATGGGGACGTGGTAAGGTTGCCAGATCCAGGCTGGGAAACTCCTGGAGATATGGGGGTGGACCCTGGGGAGGACAGGTACCTTCCTGAGGTACAATGCCATAGAGTCCATCCTCCAAAGCATCCATTTTCTCCATGGGAAATCATCTCTGTACTCTGGAGGTGAGCAGTAATTCCAGGGGATCTGCAGGTGACGTGATACGACCTGATTTGCATGACTCAATTAGGCCTGGCTGCTTGCTACTCTTCAACAGCAGCCACCCTATGAAAGTCAGTGTGGTACAGCAGTTCGAGCTTCAAAGTAGGGTCTGCAAGATCCCCATCTTGCGGTGGAAGCTGACTGGGTGATTTTGGACCAGTCACATACTTTCAGCCTAACCAACCTCACAGGATTGTTGTACAGATGAAAAGGAGGAGAGAATAATGTAAGCTGCTTTGGTCCCCACTGTGGAGAAAGACTGTAATTTTGCTAGGTAGAGGCTGTGGGGGAGGGGGGGTGAAGATGGAAAGCTGAAGACAGAGAGGCAGATAAAGGTAGGTAGGCTGTTGGGTGGGAAGGAAATAGGGTTGCCAACTACAGGTCGGGAAATTACTGGACATTTGAAGGGTGCAGCCTGGGGAGGGGGGGATTTGAGGAGGAGAGGAACTTCAGACCAGTAAAATACCATTGACTCCACCCTCCAAACCAGCCATTTCCTTCACGAGAACTACAACTGCCATCCTCCAGGTGAGGGCTGGAGATCACCCAGAATTACAACTGTTGTCCAGGTGACAGAGATCAGTTACCCTGGATAAAATGACTGCTTTGGAGGGTTGAATCTGTGACCCTGCTGAGGCTGCTTCCCTCCCCAAGCCTCACTGTCCCAAGGCTCCACCCCCAAATCTCCAGGTATTTCCCAACCTGGAGCTGGCAGCCCTAAGGTGAAGACCTCTGTAGTTGGGAGATCTGTTGTGATTCCTGGAGCACTGCCACTGCTGCTGTGGGGGGAGAGGAAGCAGGTGGGTGGTTGGGAGCACTGCCACCACTGCTGGTGCTGCTGTGCAGGGTTGGGGAGGAAGCAGGCAGGAGACTGGGAGAGTGATGGGGGCAGAAAGAGAGAGTGACGGGGTGGGGGGGAGAAAGAGAAAGAGAGTGAGGAGGTGAGGAGGCAGAAAAACAAAGAGAATGATGACGGGTCAGAAAAAGAGAGGAAGTGACATGCATGGAGGAGAGAAAGAGAGTGAGAAAAGGGGGGCAGAAGGGAGAAAGAATGTGAGCGAGGTAGGAGGAGAGGGGAGGAACCAAAGGTGTGAGGAATGGGATAAGCATTTAGTCTTTTCACTTTCTCATTAATCCTAATCTGTCGTAAACTGCCTTGAATTCTTGAGGGCGGTGGGATAGAAATGTAAATAACACCAATATTGCACTAAATTATAATGTTTGTATGATCAGAACATTTCCCATATTTTTCTCAACATCTCTCTCTGTTGGCGGGGATGAGTATATGTACGACATATTTTTGCTTATGGGAAAACTAAAGTCAAAATATGGAAGTTACTTCTACAGACTATCTGCTAAGTAATCAGCAGAGCCGGAATTAGAATTGATAGCCAGCTGCAACTGGCTTATTACGAAATCAAGGCATAGTACAACAAAAATGTTCCATTGTTGAAGAGGGGGTTGAAGCAAAAATGGTTGCTTTTTTTAAAGCAACAGACTGGGAACCAAGGTTTGCATTATCTCTGCTATGTGAGCAAAGTCCCTGAAAAACTGAATTGCTTACAATGAATTCTACTAATTTTGTTTGTGTATTTTAATTTATCTTCTGTCTTTGACCTTCAGGCAAAAGTAGACAATGAGATCCTTGATTATAAGGATCTAGCAGCCATTCCCAAAGTCAAGGCCATTTATGACATTGAGCGTCCAGACCTAATTACTTATGAGCCCTTCTACACTTCCGCCTACGAGGAAAGACAGGAGAGGCAAAGCCTTGGAGAGGTAACGGACTGGGGAGTCTCCCATTCTTCTTCTATGCACTATTATTAAAAGCCACCTTAATGTCTAAACTTTGTAGAAACTGCACCTCTTTTTGATGCTATTGTTGGCATTCTGAGCAAATGTTTCCCATCTCTTTGGCCTGGAAAGAAGTATGATGCTCTTTGTGTTGCAGCATGAAGCCTGATGCAAAAACATGCACATGTTGTTTACCTTCACCAACAGCTACTCATATCCACAGCTACAAGGATGAATGCGCAGTTTGCGGCTCCCTTTTTCACATAGCTTCATGGCAGCAGCCAAGAGCATGTTTCAAACTGCTAGAGTGATGGTAGCAGAATGACACTTTGAAGCACCAGTGGGACATCAGAGTTGATTTTTATGGCAACAAGGGGTCATAGTTCAGCTGGAATGGCATAGAGCTTTGAAAGAAAATGGCTGTCTATGGCCCGCACTTCCATGAAGTGTAGTATCACAATGCTGGCTGGCTATTCACTCAGGGATGTGCAAGTAATTTTTTCTGCTCCCAACCTCACCCTTTCACATTTTTACTAGGACTACGATTACTCAGGGAAACAGGAGATGTGTCTTAATATTATTTGATGCATTGTATGGAATAAGAGATTGGCATGGAAGGGAGAGTCACAAATAGCCACAGAAACCATGTTGAATTTAAGGTCTGGAATAAGATGCACTAGGGTGAAAAATGTAGGATCAATATGAAGCCAAGCTAATAGACAAGCAAGGCAAGGCTACAATAAGGTAAGTAGCTTGAAGTGAAGCCCAGTGTCATGTCAGCCAGAAATCAGGTGTAAGATAGGGCAGAAGAATCTAGAAACCAAATATAGCCATGAGACAACTGAAAATCCGTGGTTCAAATCTACCAAGAGCTTACCAAAAGGAAAATCATAATCATAGCCTCCTGCCCCTATTTTTGCAGGATGTAGATAATGATGATCTGCCTTTCAAAGTAGTGTTGAAGATTACTGAAATCATTTAGGTGAAGTGTTTTAAATTGTACAGTTTAGGAATGAGATACATTATCCCAGGATGGTGGCGGGGTGTGTGTGTATAGTGCAGGTGGCAGGGAAGATGAAACATGGCTCCCTGGGGCTACAACTCAGACAGGCCTAGCCATACAGAGCTATATATGAGAGATCACGGGAAAAGCAGTTAAGAATAACCAAAAGAGAGCTGTGATATATGTATGAAAATGCTTGGTAAACAATATAATTGACTATACAATGTTACACTGAGTAATTATATCATAGCTGTATTTTGGTTGTTTTTAACTGGCCATACAGAGACCTGGTTCTCGTCTGATGCAAAGGATTTATGTGGCTTGATCTTAGCAACTATTAAACTGCAAAAATTTCTGTGTAACAGGGGTGGAAATTGCCAGTGTATACAGTGTTTAAGATAGTAACTGTCTTTCTGAATTGCACTAAAAATTGCCCTGGTAAATATTTGCAAAGTAAACTCAATAATTAAACCTAATGCCAAGTTGGCTTTAGGTTTTGTGTGTGAGTACAAATATTTACACAGAATATCTCTGCACAGTTGACAAAAGCTCAGAAAATACTTTGCTTCTTGTTTATTCTGGTGCCTATGTTATTCTGTAGTCTACACCCTTTTATTTCTCTGATCAGCAAAACAGTAAAAAAGTATCTTGGGAAATCTGTTTATGGATTTAAAAAAAAAGAGGAAATGTTGATAATCAACACTTGACTGCATTCAGACATCATAAATAAGACTTAGTTCATGATGGGCACAGATCGTTGTTGTTGACAGGCTTCCTTCCTCCTCTCCAGCAGGGAATGAGATGGAAGACTTCCTTGTTTCAGAAGTCTTCCCTCAAACTCCAATTTGTCATGACATTTAGTGTGGGTGACTGGACAAATTTGTGTTTGTTTGTTCCCCATTAATTGGTGTATAACAGGAAGTATACTGGCACAAAAACTTGGTTTATGTCTGTCACAAATCAATATAAATAGTGGCGGCTACAAGCATGGATGGCTTCAAGAGGGAATTAGATAAACATATGGAGCAGAGATCCATCAGTGGCCATTAGCCACAAGGTATAGATAGAACTCTGGGGCAAGTGATACTCTGTATTCTTGGTGTGGGGGGGGCAACAGTGGGAGAGCTTCTAGTGTCCTGGCCCCACTGCTGGACCTCCTGATGGCACCTGGTATTTTTGGCCACTGTGTGACAGAGTGTTAGACTGGATGGGCCATTGGCCTGATCCAACATTGGCTTCTCTTATGTTCTTCAGACGTGTAGTCTATTTGGTCTACTTTTACTTGAATGTCTCCTGGATATGCACCCAGACTCTGGTAGGCATGGTTTCTCTGATCATTTGAAGGAGCATCTTTTTCACCATTTCACTGAGTCCCTGTCAATGTGCAATATAATAACAAGGAAAGATTAGAAGCCCCTATTTTGTGCACCAAAGCTAAATGTAGATAGCAATACACAGTTTAGCTTAACAGGATTGGGAAGGGAAAGGCAATCAGCTTTCATCTTTATGGCACTTCCCATTATAAAGTGTTTTGTCTTAGGCAAAGTGGCTAAACTATTATCTTCAGAATTGATGTTCCAGAACGCTTTCTCCCACTGCCACCTGGTGGAAGCTAACCAGCTAATCTTCCGGTTATAATAATGCATTCAGCTGCAGCATGAACACAAAGGATCTATTTGCCAATCACTTTTGAAGTCATGTAGGAATAAATAATTTTGTGTGGGAAAAGTTTAGTGTTTGATCCCAACACATAAGCATGTAAGTCTTATGTTTCACTGGGGTGTTCCTGTTTCCAAACTCTTGACAGCTTTTCTTTTGCCATGGTGTCCTGTAGAGTGAGGGAGGTCAGAGCTCTTGACTGCCTGCTGCTTTTGGCATATGAATGTGTTGCCTTTCATCATTACTTAGAATTTTCTCAAGATTGCTCTTTTCCTGCATTTCCCTTCAAGGGTTTTGAGTCATCTGCTGCTGCCTTTCTTTACCGCTGCTTCTCCACAGGCAATGCCATTTTTTTAAAAAAAATCTAAGCTAAACGCTGTTGTGTAATGAATGGAGCTAACCATCCAGCAATGAAGCACAGAAATGTTTTTAGAGGAGCTGATGGGCATTTCACTTATGTCAGAACAGCAGATTTCAGGCCTCAAATGCAAAAACTACTCTCTGATGTTAAATGATATTATGCTTCCCATTTAGCATAATAATTTTTCCCTATTAGTAATATGATACTAGCTAAAAGATTGGGTTTTAATCGGGGAACATATTTAAATGGATGCATAATTTAACATTTTCCCTCCTGAGACAATGCAGGGATGGACAACTTCTTGTCCAGGTTCACATTTTTTGGCTTACTCAGGTGAGTGAACAGAGTCATGGGACTGGTTCTTTTAATCATGGCTCAGCCTGAGGATTAGTATTTGCCACCACTAAGTCTGATATTCACTGGAGTCTTGCTGGGTTTCCATTCCTTTAGAGGCTGCACAACATAACTCCTTGTAGTCTCTGTAAGATAAAGTCTCACTGAAACTGGATGAATTTCTTTCCTGTTTATTTCTAGCATACATCATATGATCAAGTTACCAATGAAATTTGGAGGTGTGGAATTATTAATTTACCTAGGCCAATGCCATGGTTTAGAGGAGGCACATCAGACAGGCCACTGCTTAAAGGAATGCATACATGTCTATGCTCCATGCCATACCCTATATGCTATGGAGAAATCCACGAATGGCTACTAGCAATGGTGACTGAACAGAGCCTCCATATACAGAGGCAGCAAATCTCTGAATACCCGTGCTAGGAGGCAACGTGGGGGAAAGCCCTGTTTGTTTGGCCCTCCAGAGCAACTAGTTGGCCACCTGTGAACCAGTATGCTAGCCTAAATGGACCCAGGGGTCTTTTGGGGCCGGAGCGTACCGGAGTGCTGCTCCGGCAGCCCAGGGGCCGGCGCAAATGGTGGTGGCGGCGAGCCTCCCTCCCTCCCTCCATCTCTTTGCCATCTTTCCCTCCTTTCCTTTTCTTTCCCTCCTTTTCTTTCTTTCTTTCCCTTCTCTTCCTTCCTTCCTTCCTTCCTTCCTTCCTCTCTTTTCCTCCTTTCCTTCTCTCTTTCATTCCCTCCTTTCCTTCTCTCCTTTTCCGCTTTCCCTCCTTCTTCCCTTCTCTCTTTCTTTCTTTCCTGCCTTCTTCTCTTCTCTTTTTTCCTCCTTTCCCTATTTCCCTCCTTCCCTTCTCTCTCTTTCCATCCTTCTTTCCTTCTCTTTTTCCCTCGTTCCTTCTCTCTTTTTATCCCCTCTTTCCTCCCTTCTTTTCTTCCCTTATGTTTATTTCCCTCTTTCCTTCCTTTTTTCCTTCTCTCTACTCTCTCTCTTTCCTTCCCTCTTTCCTCCTTCTGTGGCCCAACTCTAGTGAGAAGGGGTTTAAACCCCTTCTCTCTTCACTCCCCCCCTGCAGGCCAGCTGGGAAAGGGAAGGGGAGGCTTTTGAAGATGCCTTCCCCCCCCCTTTGCTTTCCCCTTCTGACATCACTTCTGGTGATGTCAGGGGGCATGGCATATGCTAATAGCCTAGTAGCTCATTAGCATACCATATGCTAATGAGCTCCTGCAGCTCTTTTTCTACGAAAAAACCCTGAATGGACCACTGGTTTGATCTAGCTTTTTCATGTGTTCATCTTTATAATAGCTCTTATGTTCTTTTATCCCACTGCTCACTCTCCTTTGTCAGTAGAAGAACCAGTGTATTTCTGGGTTCTTCTCAGGGAAAGTCTGTGATACCTAGCTTTCCCACAGTACAAAAATATGCTCTCTGCTCTCTCACATATAGAACTGTGAGTAGAATACCTTATGAGTTCTTGCACTGAATGTGATTTCTTTTAAATCCCAGTCAATGCTAAGAAGAACTAGGATTAAGTCATGAAACCAAACCATATATCTTCAGTGTTAATTTTGCCTCTGTACTTCTGCCACCGGACGAATGAGCCAAACTTGGATTAAACCTCAAGTATTCATAAAGATTTTGCTTTCTCTTTCTACTGGGACTGCACACTTTGATTCTCTAGTACATCTGAGATTAGTAATCTCGAAGTTGGTTTGGTTTGTTTTTTTTTGCATTATTTTCTTTTGAACCCTTTTGTAGTTTACATAAAGAATGATGAACCCAAACTTTCCTTGACAGACTCAGAGTTCCAGATATGGCAGTTCTCCTGTGCACGATGAAAGTGTAAGTTGAAAAAAGACAACGCAAAAACCATAGATGTGCTCTGTGGTGGTATAATGACACTGGTACTGGTGTGAAAGGAAGAAGGAAGTCAGTTTCTGTAATACTTGTCTTGCAGCCATTGATTACTTTGTCTCTATGTGTAAATGTAAATAAGAGATGGTTGGGCAAATCATAAATATGTTTGACTTCTGTGATGTGGCACATTATTAGTATGAGTGTTTAGCTGTGGCACATTATTCAGATAGATGAACAATGCTGGACTCCAGGACTATGATTTCAGGGCAGATTCACTGACTACATTGATGAGAGCTGATCCACCATGCTTTTGTTGTGCATAACCAGTTGTACCTATTCCCTTATGAAACCTCAGTGATTGTGTGATTGATGGTTCAGTAAATATGGACTGAGTTGCAAGGCAGATATGTGGTGAAGCAATTATTACCAATTCTTTATCACAACATAGGCCATCCCTGGTACTTGAGAACATGGTTAGTGTAGAGGCTTAAATGTTGGGGCTCAATATAGAGTCAGAGCTCTGCTTAGCAGAGTAGCCTTGGGCGAGTCATTCTTTCTCAGAGGAAATAATGGGGCTAAAATGGGCTCCTGAAAGGATGAGATACAGATATAATAAATGTATTTAGTCCAAACCTAAATCTGTGAGATACAATTGAAATCAAGTATCAAAAGAATTTTTCTGCTTGTTTTCTTTATGTAAAACTGCTGAAAGGCTTAATTTGACTGAGAGTCTCCAGACATATCCATGAAACCTCTTTTCTTGCTAGGATTCATTACATTCCGGCAGTCCACTATTACATATGGCAAACTGATTCAAAATTAGAATTTTTCTGAAGTCATTCAATCCTTGAGCCAAAGAAGTATTTACACTTTGAAATTTGACTTTGAAATATTTCTATAAAACTAGCGCACTTGTCAGATTAATATGCTTGTGATTGCTGGTTTGTTTTTAACTAACCGTTATAATTGTTAACAGAGATACCAATTTTAAGGTGTTCTGGCAGAATATTTGATTAAATTAGGTACATGCTAAGTCCCTGTAAACTGAAGCAGCCATCTCAGTTTGGAGGCCTTACCACCGGTGATGTGATAGAAATCCCCGGATTTCGGTGGCCACAATCACTTTTTCATGTTTTCATCATTATAATAGATCTCAAGACAGTATTGCTAAGACATTTGACAAGCCATGAGCAAAAGTCTTTTGTATAACTTTCTTTCTTTCATGTCTTGCAGTCTCCAAGGACACTGTCTCCAACCCCATCTGCAGAGGTAAATTTGATGGAACTTCTGCTCCACATTTAACTCCTGCAAAATAATCATTATTGAAAGGGAATTACTGCTTGGCCTGTGCTGCTAGTCTCAGCCCATTTATTTTGCCTTATCAAAAAGCCACTATTCTATTCTATGAAGATGTCAGCTGCAGGGATTAATAGGATTGGCTGGTAGAGTTCATGTGCCTACTGTGTTTCAGAATGTTCTATTTTAGCTAATCTCATCTCAGAGTCTCAGGAGGCAGTTGTGAAAAGGCAACAATCTAATTGCAGAAGGTACACTGGATAATCAAAATGTTTGGGACAAGTGAAGGAAAGCCCCAAATTAAAAGGTGGTTTTGGGAAATACTAAAAAATAATTGCAGCTGAGTTTGACTGTGCAAAAGAAAGTGTATGTCTCCTTTTGTACAGAAGGGGACAGAAATGGGCAGTCTCTTAGACCCATCAGTACATTCTGGAAGGGTTAAGGAGGAACTTGTACCTCCCTATAAAAGCACAGCTCACATTTTCTGTAGGAGACTTCATCACATTGAACTTTAAATGCTTCAGGATTTCAATATTCCTTCAGAATTGAAGATAATTTTCACTGTAGTAATAAATAAAATATATTCTGTTCTTTAGGGTTATCAAGATCTTCGGGATCGGATGATCCATCGGTCCACCAGCCAGGGTTCCATTGGTTCTCCTGTGTACAGCCGTCATAGCTACACTCCCACAATGTCACGTTCACCACAGCATTTTCACAGACCTGGTAAGACAGTTGCAACCATGTGACTGCAACCCAGAAGCTCTGTGTTTCATATCATGCAATTTTATGGAATAGGAATTTGTTTCTTAGGGATTAAAGGATTTCCAGCAAGCTTTTGTTCCCACTTTTTGATTAATTATATCTGTTTTTAACTTTTAAATATTAGAAGTCTATGCTAATTAGAGAATCGCCGATAATTGTGCGCATCCTGGATTGAAGACATGCTCTTGATAATCAAACCAAGCAGCTCATGCAATGTCACTATTTTATTACTGCAAATTTAAGCCCAAACTTAAAGCGAAATTCTTGATTTGAAATCCCAGAGTAAAGGCCGATGTCGTATAAAAAGAGATTTCACATGTTACTTAGCTGCAAACTGAGCGCAGCAGCCTCACAAGCTTCACAGCTGAAGTGCCAGATGTGCACACCAGTGAATCAGTCTTAAAACTAATGATACATTTCAGGCAAACTGGTCCACCTTTTTATTTTTAAAACTCAGTTTGAACATTCCTGCAAATATCTGCTTGTTCATTGCCTTACAACTTATTTAAAAAGAAAAGCATTTAAAGTGGGGGGAAATACTGTTCTGGGGGTTAAAAATGGGGAAAGATGTTTCTTTGTGACCTCATGAGAGGCAGCCAATCAACATTTTCCATGATTGATTCTGCTTCAGAATTGTAAAATTATATCCTAAAACATACATGGATAGAAAAAGGGCATTTGAATTGGATGCAGTGAAGGGGTGTGTGCGCCCACTGCCCTAAAAAAAGGTTGTTTGTTTTCACTTCTGGTGAGTCATTAGCTCTTAATTATGTGCACAAAACAGTGAAGACTCTGGTTAAGCAGTGCACATTTGGCCATATTTAGCTAAAGATTTTGCTTCCTTAGAAGTACTGTAGAACTGAATCCTTCTTGTGAATATATAAAATGCATACTATTCCATACCCCTTGTCTTTGGCTCTCTGAAGGTGAAAGAAACAGATGTTCCGATGCAAGTGATATATTTTTAAAGTAAGAAGTCTATTACTAACAGCTCAGCATACCGTTTGAGAATGTTGTTGTTTGTTGCCATCAAGCTGAAAGTGGTTGATTTGCAGAGGAAGTCCTTCATTCAACTGTGTGGTGCACAAGTCAGATTTGGTATATGATATAGTTCTGGCAGCATGATGATGACTTAACACATTGGTTGAGCCAGCTCAATCTATCAAGGTATAAAAAACCTGCACATTTCTGCTTATTGTGGTTGTAACTCCAGATATGCTGGACTATAAACAAATACATTTTTGTTCCCCAGTCTTTACCATAAGGAAGAGCCTTGTCAGAGAGCTTTAGAAGGGCCTTTTTATTTATTGGGAAAACAGTTTTTCTTCATTTCCTCTTGTCACTCAGACTCAAGGGGCAGCAGGTGGGTAGAGAGCAGCAGTGCTGCAGGATATGAAGCATCGAATCATCTAGGGTTGCCAAGTCCATCTTCCACCCCCAGCGGGGGACTTTGGGGGAGTTCCTGGAGGGGGCGGGGCATCCCCGGCATGATGACGTCACGTTGGGGATGTCTCTCCCCCCCACCCCGTCCGTGCGCCAGATCTCCAGAAACGGCAGTTCCCTGCACTTAAAGGAGCCGGCGTTTCCCTTTTAAATGCAGGCGCCGGCGTTTCCCATTTAAGAGCAGCCGCGTTTCCCTTTTAAGAGCACGAAGCTGGCATTTCTCTGCAAGCTTGTGGAGATCAGGCTTGGGAGGAAACACATGCTTCCACACACTTAAAGGGAGAGAGATGGCTGGCTGTGGGTGTTGGGGGTGGGGTTTCCCCCGCCGGCCATCTGGCCAGCGGTGGGTAGAACCCCCCCCCCAAAATGGGGGAGCCCTGGCAAACCGGGGGGGTTGGCAACCCTAGAATCATCTGACATAGATACTGTCAGCAACAACACTGTTAACCAGCTACCAAGACCCACCATGGGCCCCTGGACAAAGATTCCATCTGCCCCCCCCCCCATGACCCTGATCCAAACTATGACCGCAAACTGCATTTTCCTGGTTTGTGTCCATCCCTAATCAGAACAAAACAAGTAACTTTACTGGCTCTTACGATGCATCTATAATAATAAAAGGATTCACATGTCCATCTGTCTTTCCATTTGTGGCAGGCATAGTTTATCAGAAAATAGAACCAGGAATCTCAAAATAGGCCATCAACTTCAGGATGACTGTGGCGTTTCAGGGCCAAAACTGAAAGGGACTGGAATTTCCTGGTCCAGGTTACTTCCAGACCCCCCCATGCTATTTGCAGTGGAAGCTAAGCTTGTGTAGTGGTTAAAGTGTTGGACTAGGATCTGGGTGACCCAGGTTCAAATCCCCACTCTGCCATGGAAGCTTACCGAGTGACCTTAGGCCAGTAACACACCCTCAGCCTCAGACAGGGTTGTCGTGAGGGTAAAATAGAAGAGACAAGAACAATGTAAGCCACTTTGAGTCCCCCTTGGGAAGAAAGGCGGGATGTAAATAGGTAAATATTCTAGCTTCTGTTCCTCATTTGTTACCACTGAGGCAGATTAACAATTTACTATTATGCATGTAAAGGGTAGAGGGAAAGGAAGCATGCTTTTACGACTTTGGTAGATTTTGAGAATATTAACAAAGGTTTGCTGCTATACTAGCCCTGACCAGGATAGCCCAATCTCATCAGATCTCAAAAGCTAAGCGAGGTCGGCCTTGGCTAGTATTTGGAAGGGCAACCTCCAAGGAATACCATGGTCGAGACAGGCAATGAATGGCAAACCTCCTCTGAAATGTCTCTTGCCTTAAAAACAAGTCTAGCTCGCCACCTAGTGGTGCATAATGCTAAAAGAGCCATACAACAACGACAACAATAATAATATAATGCTGTACTGCTATTGAATACATTCTAAGTTGCCAAGCAAGATAGATTATGAGTTGAGACTGAAAAATAAGGTGGGGGGAAAGAAAAATTAGAAATGGGGATAGACAAATGGCAGGTTTTTAAAAAGTATATTCAGTGAATACAGATAACACTGGCCTCAGGGGCCCTCCAACTGACTTGGGACCCCCAAATTTTGTTCCCTGAGTCTTCATTTCAGGAAGGGATAGGGATGACAGTCCTTACCTGTGAATTAGAACACAAAACTGACTTTTAATCCTCTGATTTTCTTAGAAATAGTAGAGTTGTGGGCTCCTATAAATAAATGTTTAGTGTAGAAGAAGGGATAGGAGGTGCCCTTTCCAAATACCAGATATGGCATATTTCCAGAAGTTCAGAAAATGATTTGACTTGTTTTGTTGATTACGTTCAGTGGCTTTCTGTGATTGTTTGCCAGCAGGATACAAGCCTTAAAATTATTTCAGAAAGCTGTTTGAAAACAGCTGATTGGAAAACAGCATGTGTTCTGAAACTTCCTTTGAATTTTTTTTCTTGAGAAGTCTTAAAAAATAAAACTCAAGTAGACAGGGTCTCTCTCTCTCTCTTTTGCATTTATAGAAATTTGCAGCCTTCGTACATTCCTGGGTCTCTAAACCCTGAGTATGTCACAAGTGATGTGAAGAAATTAATCAAAATTAAACAAAATCCAAAAATTAAAAGGACACGTAAATTACAATACATATTCTATTTTAGTATATCTGTTTTCTATTTTCACTATCGCATTAAACATTGTTATTACAAATGACACAATGGCAATCAAAAGGCATTCTTGGTGTCCTTGAGGAAAATGCCCTAAGCTTCCTTCAGAAATGTCTTAAAACAATAGATAACAACTTTTTATCCCCTCCATTATTTGGCCAGGCACCTCCCCCAACAACAGCTGCTACTGAAAGTGATTTGGATTCAAAGCCGCAGCTTAAGTATTTGGAGATAGAGGGAACCTTAATTTAAACTGAAGCAAAGGGCTATCCAAAGCAAATCTAAGTTGGTCTTCAAATTCCTCCTTTAACTTTGCCCAAAACTTTTATAGCCTCGAACTTCTCTAATTGTGTTTCTTCCTGCTTTTTCAGACTCCTAGTCGTTCAATGCTTTTCTCCCTCTGTTCTGTCCTTGCCCCCCCCCAGCCACTTTCCCTGCTTCTGTCTTATTTTGTGTTTTCTTTTCTTTGTTTCCATTTTGTCCTGCCTCATGATTCTTTGCTGCTGCAGAACTGCTGTCTACTGGTGTGCAGCAGTTATCCCACCTGCGCACTAGCAGTCCCAGCTCCATCCACAATGATTCCCGCCCTTACTCCCCTTTCCGACACCACTTCATTCCCCATGTCAAAGGTAAGGAGACAGGTCTTTCAAGATTGTGTCCAACAGACTGGAGATTTATTAGCATTCTAGGAAAGCTAATAAAGCACATCTCCATCAGGTGGCTATCCGCTGGGCAACTCCCAGCATGCCTTAGACCTATGTCATAATTATGTTAGACTGGCATATCTTCTTCTTTTTGAGGAAGTATGTCATTTCTAAGGGTCCTCCTCAGGAAAAATGTTCAACAGTAATATTTCTTATGTTTTAAGAGCGTGTGGTTCTTTCAAAAATGATGAGATGGTTGGCTTTTTGGTTGTTGTTTGGGGGTTGGGGTTGTTTGGGGGTTTTTTTGCTTAATTGTTAATGGAACAAGTAAAGAACATAGCACTGGTTATGTAATTATGACACCTGTTTTTGTTTTCAATATGTATATAGTAGAACCCTGGAATTTGTCACCTGGGAAATGTAACTATGGAATCTTTCTCATCAAACACTCTGAAATACCCTGTGTTTTCTGTAAGCTCACCACAGCACCTCTCCTTATGCTCAGAAATTAAATGTTAGTAGTAATCTGCCATGTATACTAGCTTCAGAGATTCTGTCATTTATATTAACTTCTGACATAGCCTCCTTCCCTGAAACCCAGGCCAGGGTCATATATGATTTAGATAGGCCTGATGAGATTTTACCAAGTCAGATGTGATGTGAACTAGTACTTCCCACTTCAAAGCTAACCCTAGCATTGACTGTAGAACACATTTTTATGCTGCAAAACCAACAGTCATGTAAAGCTTTTTAGTTAGGATTAACTGAAACATCACAAAATAAACAAGTTGTCATGTTCACCAGAACTTTTTATCAGGGTGGATGCTCAGTACAACAACAAAAGTGGGGGGTGGGGAGGGGAGACATTGTTTCAGGAAATAGTGAAGAATCTCCTAGTCAGTACTTCGAGGCATCTTAAAATAAAATACATGGAAGTGTTGAAAATTTAATTGGATTAGATGGTGCTGGGTGCCAAACAGTCTTTGGCATGAGACAAAAAGTGAGATACAGAATCCCCATCCCAATTTGTCCTGCTTCCATTTAAAAATATAAAAAACCAGCAATTAAGTAATCTTCCCTTGTAATATGTTGGTCGGTCCTAATGAAAAGGTATTATGCAACTGTTTGGGGATTTTTTCTGTGGACCCGTTACAGACTTTGGTCAATCCCAGTTTTTACCACACGAGGGTGCTTTCATATCACATTTCCATTTTTCAGGACTCACTGATAAGATCACATTTTGTGGTGACATTATTTATTACAACCGAGTGTAAAGGTGGCTGAGGGTGATTCCTTGAAAAATGTCTCCTCGTTACCATGCTTACTTTTAAAAACACCAACAAGGGTCACAACTCTGAACATTCTTTCATCCTGTTCCAGATCTTTTGTTCCATCCTGCACCCTCGCTCTTTGCGCCAGAACTTCCTGAAAGACTATCCCACCAGTGCCCTGCCCTCTAAATACTGATCGATCCCTTTTTGAACATGCCATGTTCCATGCGCACCTTCCAGGTTTTTTACCCAGTTAACCTCACGTGTTCAAAAGCAACAAAAACCTAAATTAATAAGGTTATAATAGAGTTTATGCACTTGAGGTTCTATTACATAAATCCACTATCCTGGATGAATAATAATATTTGCTATCAAATACATAACCGATCTCAGCAATGATGCTAATAGATGTCAGTCATCTCTGAATTTTCTGTGACACAGAAATAGTGCATGAATTTTGTTAGGGTTATTCCCCCCCCCCCAATGCACACTTTCAGCCTGTTCCTCTCAATTTGTTTTACTCATCATAGAAGCAAAGCTTACTTCATATTGTAAACATGGGGTTCCTTAAAAACATAGGCATAGCTCATGTCTTCGTGCATTTGCACCATAAACACCAACATTCCACATTTCCATGCTGTAAAGCTATTGTTGTTCTTTTCAAATACATTCCTATCATTTTTCATTACACTTGAGAGGCAGTAGTTCTTTCAAACTTAATGCAATAACACTCCATTGAGGATCAGCTAACAGTTATCACTTTCTCATAGGGAATGGATTGGGGGGAGAAAAATATGTATTTCCTGCATAATAAAGATATGGTAAATACTTTACCCTGGCCTAGATGGCCCAGGCTAGCCTGATCTTATCAGAACCTGGAAGCTAAGCATTGTTGGCCTTGGTGAGACCACCAAGGAATTCCAGAATCACTATATGGAGGAAGGCAATGGCAGACCACCTCTATTAGTCTCTTGCCTTGAAAACCCTATGGGATTACCGTAAATCAGCTACAACTTGATGGCACTTTATACACACACAGGTACTTCACCCACACTTGTAGGCAATGCTTATTTTACACTCTTCTTATATCCCCAATCCACACTTCACAGTGCCTTCACTCCCTCCTGGTTCCTCACTTCAACAGTGCATGGCTAATAGGGTTGCCAGGTCCTTCCTAGCAACCAGCGGGGGATGGGGGGACTTATGGATAGCAGGAGGGGGAGGCCCAGCTGATGTGCAGTGATGTGCCTACGTCATTGCTCACGTGACCTGGAAGTGACATTGTTGCATTGGGGCAGCGCTCTGGTATTTGGGCAAAAACTCTATGGTAAATTTGGCTTTTACCATAGAGGTTTTGCCCAAATACCAGAGTGTCTCCCCAATATGATGACATCACCTCTGGGTCACCTGGGCAGTGATGTAGACATGTCGCTGCACATTGGCTGGATCTCCCTCTATTTTGGGATAAGTTCCCCCCACCGGTCGGCTAATAGGCAGTGGGGCCTGGCAGCGGGGGACCCCTACCTCCACTGGGGGTCTGGGAACCCTAATGGTTAATGGTACTAACTATAGAACCAATACAGGCAGTGCAATGCACTCAACAGCTTTTGTAGTACTGATGCAGCATGTTCCAGGAAAGAAAAGTCCCTCCTTCTAGGAATGTTTTCCATATGGTTGTGATATGAAACGCTGAAATGAGAGCACAGGAAGCTGTCTCCTGGTACAATGTGGTATTTTGTGCTAAATTTTCAGATTAAACTGCCTTTGGCTTCATTGTAGGAACCAGTGGGTAAATGGATGGAGGTTATGAATTTTGTATAAATCTGATGTCTTTGTGGTACAGAAATCTTCTTCCTAAGATTTTTTGGAAGATTCCCCTATGTATTTAAGCTTCAACTTGATAATAATTAGATATAAGAAACAGAGTGAATCGATGAATAAAATCTCAAGAGGCTTTTGTCTTGCCGTACTTAGAGACAGACTTCGCTTGGAATGCTCATGGTATTTGGAATCAGGTTATAGTGGCATGTGAGCCTGAATTTTACTATGTTCTGTGATAGGATGTATTGCACTCATTGTTTGAAGCGTATTGGTTACTTTCATGCGTTTCAGAGGTTTCTGTTTTAGGGCCAAATTACAAGTCAGGTTCTGTTGTGCTTAGTTTTCCTTCCAACTTCTCTCTAACATATCAGTAGAGGCTATAGTCTGAGTCCTGTAGACTAGTCATGGTCTGAAATTGCCATGATGCATTCATTCACTTTTAATTGAGAGTTCAGATGATGATAGTGGCAACCTGGTGAAGTTCAATATTTTCCAAGTTATTCTCCCATTTTTACTTAGACCTGTTTTCTGCCAACTGAATTTGAACTACTGAATTTGCAAAAAGCTACTACCCCTTAACATTCTAGGTTATTTTTCCTTCCACTATTCTAGGGTTGCCAGGTCCCTTCTGGCACCCAGTGGGGGATGGTAGGGACTTACCAGGAGTGGGAGGGAGACCCAGGCAACGTCGCCAGTGATGTATGTCACTCCTGGCGTGTATCAGAAGTTACATCATCACACTGTGCTGTCATGATGATGTTTATTTTTACAAAAAGGGCTTCTACCATAGAGTTTTTTCCCGAAATACAGGAGTGTAGTCTGGGCATCACCAGCGTGTTGATGTCACTTCCGGTACACGCTGGAAGTAATGTAGCCACATTGCCAGCATTGTCACCTGGGTCTCCCTCTCTGTCCTGGGTAAGTCCCCCTGCTAGCCAGCTGATTTGTGGCAGGAGTGGGGCCAGGCGATGGGGGACCCTTGCCTCCACCCAGGGGGCTGGCAACCTTACACCATTCTTAATTATTTCCTCTTTTTCAGTGGAGGACGGAACAATGTGGTTCTTTTGGCTTCCATTAATCTATTGTAAACTATCGACTCTTTTGGAAAAAGACTTAAATTCTTGTTTTGTACTTTGTAGTTTGTGCTTTTAATTTCTTAATTATTGTTATTTTGTCATAGGGAGAAAGGACATGGCACACCTCTCTCAAGCATCAGTAAATGCTTGACAAGAGAGGAGCTTGGGCAACATGACTGCTCAGGGCTTAGAGCTAGGATGGCCTCACCTGGAATAGAGGGATGCACAGGCAGAGGAAGCCTTGACTCTTCTTCATCCCTTCAGTTGTGCAGAGTCTTGGCTTCTGCAGTTCCTTAACTTGCTGATAAATTAAACTGACATTTAGTCACCCCAAGTAATGGGGTCTGTTCCTCTTATTCCATGTTCATCTGCAGTGCTTAGTTGGACTGCTTCCTATTCCTTACTTATTTCTGCCTGTTTATTTTTACAAATCCTGTATGGGATGTATGATTGCTTTCCATACCAACAGAATAGATGGATCTCAGTTATGCTGTATTAAGCAAGAAGTGAAAATTCCATATTCACTGAAATTTTTTTGATTTGGGCTGACAAGGAAGTTCCGTTTTAAGACAGTTTTTGTATGCATCTAAGACATTTAATGTCTCTATTGTTATGTACTTAAATATTTGGTACCCTGTTCTGTTCTCCTTCTGCACTGAGGGAAAGTTTCTGCAGTGCCCATACATTTACTAGTGATGCATTTTTCAACTTAGTTTGAAACCAAGGCCAGCCCACCTATGGTATGGATAAATAGTTCCACCTTTCCCGGCAAGTTTGGACTGTTGTCCCAACTATACTATCCTGAGCCCTGACCAACTCCAGCCTTTTTAAGAAGGGAGCCTCTCCAAAATAATACATATTAGGCACACACATTCTGTCCAGGTTTCCTTATTCTTGTTGTAGGAAACCTGCATGTAATTTGTGATATTTAGTTCTGTCTTAGGGGGATTTTCTTCCAAATACTTGCATCATGTAGTGGTCAAGAGCGTGGTGTAGTGGTTAAGAGTGGTGGACTTCAATCTGGAGAACTGGGTTGGATTCCCCATTCCTCCACAGGAAGCCAGCTGGGTGACCTTTGGTCAGTCACAGTTGTTTCAGAGCTCTCTCAGCTCTGCCTACCACACAGCATGTCTGTTGTGGGGAGAGGAAGGGAAGGCGATTGTATGCTACTTTGAGAATCCTTTGGGTAGAGAAAAGAAGGTATAAAAACCAGCTCTTCTTCTTCTCTTCTTCTGACCAGATACATGTGTGGGAAGGATAGAAAGCTGTCAAAGGAGGTACTGGGAAGGTGAGGAAAGGGAAGTCTGAAGGGTAACAACTTTATTCCTCATGGATTAAAAATAATATTAAAATAAGGGCATGTTTGGTATGATTTAATGGGACAATGTAAAAAAAACTCCATTGGCCCATCTGGTACTTCTATGTATTATATGTGCAACTAACTGCTAGAACAAGTGACAAAGGTGTACCACAGTACATTTTCCCTTGAAAGCTTATGTGGTGCAATGAGCAAAACACTGATACCATCATACAAAATTATTAGCCAGCAGTTGGTGTAAGCTTTAATTAACACAAAGATTAATGTTTCCCCAGATTTCATTGAATGATGTATCTTTGTCATGCATCTCTAGTGAATTTATTACCAATCTTATCCCCCTGGACTGACTGTTAAAGAGTACTATGATGCTTCCCATCAGTGCACTCAGTTTTTCTTCCCAAGCTGCGTATGCGTTCTTTTCTGTATCTTGTATTTGATTTACTTCTGCCAAGAAGTACCACCATGATTCCCATCACAGTATTTTGCTTTCCCCCCATTTGTTCTGTCCCTATATGATTTTTTACTTTTCTTTTTGCAGATGCTGCCTCATTCTTCATAGGTATGTCATATCTGGTGACCCAAGGGTTGCCAACTCTGGGTTGGGAAATTCCTGAAAATTTCAGGGATGGACACTGAGGAGGAGGGTCTGGGAAGGGGATGGACTTCAGTGGGCTATAATATCATCGAGTCCATCCTCCAAAGCTTTCATTTCCTGTAAGGGAACTGATCTCCATAGCCTGGAGATCTCCAGGCCCCCACCTGAAGGTTGGCAACCCTAGCTGACCCCCATATATGGTGGGTCCTCGTTTCGTTTTTACTTTCACAAATTTTACTGCCTCTTCAGGTTTGCCAACAAAACAGAGAAAAAATGTTTAGACCTTTAGAATGGAATGTTTTTTACCAGGTGATGTTACTTATCTCCCTGCCTTGCAAAGCTTTAGCTGTTCATTTCTACACATTAAACCTCTGTTAAAGAACATAAGAAGAGCCCTGATAGATCAGACCAGTGGCCCATCTAGTCCAGTATCCTGCCTCACACAGTGTCCTGCAAGTTCCTCTGGAGGTCCAACAACAGGGCATAGACTCGTGCCCGAGGTCTTCCCCTGGTGTTGCCTCCTGACACTGATATTCAGAGGTTTACTGCCTCTGAACATGGAGGTTCCCTTTAGTCACCATGGCTAGTAGCTACTTATAGATGTATTCTCCAAGAATCTGTCTAATCCCCTTTTAAAGCTGTCTATGCCAGTGGGTATCGATACATCCTCTGGCAGCAAATGCCATATTTTAATAAAGTATTTCCTTTTGTCCATCCTGACTCTACCGTCCACCAGCTTCATTGGATGTCCCAGATTTCTAGTGTTTTGGAAGAGGGAGATCTAGAAAGGAGCATTACAATATTGGCCATTTTATTTTCAGTGCCTTTCCTAATAATCCCCCAACATAGAATTTGCCTTTTTCACCACTATTAAGAAGGAAGGAGGCTACAGAAAAAGACCAATGAAATCATAAACAAATCTGTTGTCAAGACATGCTAAATAAATGCAACAATAATTGCATAGAAAACAAAGTCAATGATAATGCCAAATTGTAGAATCACAAACACATTGAGCTACCTACAATTACTCCAAGATTTCCCCCCCTCTCAGTCTCAACAAGTTCAGACCCCATTAGCTTATACCTGAAGCTGGGATTTTTTGTTCCAATGTGTATTCACCTTACACGTATGACCACTCTGCCACCTTGTTGCCCACTCACCCAATTTGTGGAAATCCTCCTGGAGTTCCTCACAGTCATCCTTGGTTTTTACCATTCTGAATAATTTTGTGCCCTCTGCAAATTTGTGTACAACCAAAAAAGGGGAGAAAAACAGAACCCTGCATGGGAAAAGTAACTGAAAAGGTAGGAACAAAGAAAGTAAAATATAACTATGCACATAGTACAAATGTACAAAACATGAGTATTTAATTAACCCAATGCAATCAGAAGTGCTAAAATATAATTTAAAAACAGCAGTCCTGTAGTTCAGCATATAAATACATAATCCCAATATAAAGACAAATGTCCATTTACATAAGTATAGGTTTAAAAGTGCATATTATCTACAAGAACCAATACCAAACACATTTCAGCACCTGACCTTCTTCAGTGGTATAAATCAAACTGAGCACTCCATTAATTTAACAATAACATACAGAAAACTGACCATACACAGAATGGACCTAACATGAATGAATAAATGAGAAATAATTAACTATATGTCTGATGAGTTGCCCATGTTGTATCATGGAAAAATTTGATACCATTTTTTGTTGTTTTTAAATTAATTGAGTGCTCAGTTGCATATGGAGACAATGGCTGTGGCCACACACACTAAATAATCCATTTTCAATGTACTTTCCCACTGGATTAAAATTCAGTGGGAAAGTGCACTGGAAGTGGATTATTTAGTGTGTGTGACCACCGCCAATATGTACTTTTGAACTTGTATTTATGTAAATGGACATTTATATAAAGGGGATTAGGTACTTCTATATTAAACCACAGGATTGTTGTTATTAAATTATGTTTTAGTACTTCTGATTGCATTATTAAATTATATACTGATGTTTTGTAGATTTGTACTACACACATAGTTATATTTTACTTTCTTTTTCTTTGTTCCAACCTTTTTTGGTCACTACACTATTCACCTCTAGTTCCAGATCATTGTGAGACTCTACTTACTTCCCTCCATTGTGAGAACTGTCCATTTATTCCTATTCTTTGCTTCCTATCATTTAACCTTCTTTTTTTTAATCCACAAGAGAACCCGTCCTCTTATCCCATGGCTGCTAAGTTTACTCAGGAGTTTTTGGTGAATACCTTGTCAAAAGCCTTTTGACAGTCCAAGTATATAATGTCTGCTGGGTTGTTATCTACATGCTTGTTCACTTTTTTAAAGCATTTCAAAAGGTTGGTGGGGCAGGAAGCCATGGTGATTTTCCCTCAGCAGGCTTTGTTCCTCTATGGGCCTAGTAATTCTATCTTTGATTAAAGTTTGTACTAATTTGCCTGGGATAGATGTTAGGCCTACTGGCCTGCAGTTTCCTGATTCCCCGCTGGGCCCTTTTTAAAAAATCAGTGTAACATTTGCTACTCTCCAGTCTTCTCGTACAACAGCTGAATTTAGTAATAGGTTACATATACATCAAGGTACATAAACGATCTCACATTTGAGTTCCCTAAGAACTCTCAAGTATATGCTATCAGGACCTGGAAATTTGTCATTTTTAATTTCCCCAGTAGGTCTAGAACTTTATCTCTTGTCACCTCAATTTGATTCTGTTCCTCAAATCCCCCTCTTGAATATAGTGGCTGTGGCATGGGTATATGCCCCATCTTTTCCACAGTGAACACAGAAGCAAAAAATCCATTGAGCTTCTCTGTCATCTCCTCATCTTACTTTAGCAGTCCCTTTATTCTTTGGACATCCAAAGGCCCAACTGCTTCTCTGCCTGGTTTCCTGCTCTGGATATATTTAAATAAATTTTGATGCTTTTAGCAACCTGCTTCTCAAATATTCTTTTCACACGCTTAATTATTGACTTACATTTTTTCCCCCAGAGCCTGTGGTCCCTTCTGTTCAGTGTATTTGGGCAGACCTTCCACTTTTTAAAATAAGCCTTTTTATGTTTTATAGCTTCATACATTCATGCCATAAAGGCATTCTTTTAGACTTGGCAGTGCCTTTCTTAACCTGGGGAATGAATTCTTTCTGGGCTTCAGTTAGTGTGGTTTTGAATAGCTTCCAAGCAGGGATTTGACTTTCTTGTGTTTCCCTTTCTGTTTCCTTTTAACTATTCCCCTCATTTTTGTGAAGTGCCCTCTTTTGAAATCAGGTGTTGGAGTTTTGGACTTTAGGGGTAACTTTCCATTGATATGAATGCTGAACTTAATAGCATTGTGGCCACCATTCCCAATTGGTGCAACAGCCTCTACACCACATCTTGAGTCCCACTGAGAACCAAGTCCAAGACTACTACCACTCTTGTTGGCTCTCTGACTAACTGTTCCAGTGGACAGTCATTTATGATATTTAGGAATCTGATTTCTAGTGCATGACTCAAGCACATATTTACCCAGTCAATGTGAGGGTCCTTGAAGTCTCCCAGTATCATAATATTATATGCTTTAGCCACCTCCCTTATTTCCTTGTCCATCTCAAGATCAGCCTCAAGGGTTTGATCAGGTGGGCAATAGTATACCCCTACTTTTAAGTAACTCTTAGGACCCAGTATTTCTATCCATGTCACTTTTGTTGGGGAGTTCATTCTTCTAAAGTTTTCTAACTTATTTGATTCCATGCCCTCTTTGATGTACATTGCAATACCTCCCCCAGCCTGTCCTTTCCTGTCTTGCCTATAAAACCTATGCCCAGGGATGACTGTATCCCATGTATTTTCCTCATTTCACATTGTTTCTGAGATACCCACTATATCGAAATTGTCATTTAGCACCAAACATTTCAGCTCCCCCATCTTGGCTTGGAGACTTCTGACAGTGGCATATAGACGCCTATAATGTGTTTCCTTCTCTAGTAACCCTTTGTTGTCACACATGGCCCTCACTCCCAAATTCTATTATACTGCTATCAGTATTACGCTGAGTGTTTACACAAGCATCCCCTTGGACTGACTTGTCCAGAACCGGAGGCTCTAGAGGAACAAGACATTTTTTCCAGGCCTGTTGGCAACCCTATACTTCTTTGATGCTTGCTTCTTAACAAATGTCAGTCAAAGTTTCTTCCATTGGTTTTTCTAACAATACATTATATATACTTCAACTAATTCTGTGTATTGATCGCATATGCACAGTGTGGTAGTGCTTGATATATCTCAGCACTGTTCTATAAGATCAGAATATCAAGGTTCCTGTACTCTTTCCATATCATGTGATGCCTTTTTGCCAGCGTTTACCAAAGTTTTGGACCCAAAGGTTACCGTTAACCCTCAGCTTTATGTAAAACTAGGAGTAAGGCCCGTTGTGGGAAGAAATACAATGAGCTCTAGAAGGAAGCTCCAGGTGAGTGTCCCGACTGTGGCTGGTGGGGCGGCAGAGGGAAGGGGAAAATAGAGGGAGGCAAGCCATGTTTATTTCCTTCTGCTTAGCTATAAGGCAGGGCTGTCTCAAGTCATTTTGCTGCCCCAAGTGGGTAGTATGGGAGGACAGCCTCATGGTAACAGGTATGGTTCCCTCCACCCCTGACTTATGTTGATTTGGGGTTATGCAGTGGCAGCTAAGGTAGAAAAGCACCTCCTCCTATGCCATGTCTTCTGGGTTCCAAGGGTCTAGAAAGCGGTTCCATAGCCAGTTACAGGGTTGCCAACTCTGGATTGGGAAATACCTGTAGATTTGAGGGGTAGAGCCTGGGGAGGGCAGGGTTTGGGGTGAGGAGGGACCTCAGCAGGGTACAATTCTATAGAGTCCATTGCCCAAAGCAGCCATTTTTTCCAGCAGAACTGATCTTGGAGATCTCCAGGTGCTGCCTGGAGGCTGGCAATACTAAGGGGAGGGCCAGAC